AAAAATTGTATTGATGACTTGCATTAATAAGATCAAAAATAACTGTCAATATGATGAAATACATCATAGAAGTAATCAAACGTAGGCACTTGTTAGTACAGTAAAACTTTTTTATAGTGAATATCTATCGAAATTTTCAATAACAGACCGGAACATTTCATAAAATCTCGTTCTGTGTTTTTATCGTTGAAAACAATGTTCCAAATCAACGGTTGTTAAAATGATCTTTGATAAAGCTCTGCTTTGAAAATGCTGAAGACATAAGTGTATAGTTTAGGTTGTTGAATGGGCGTAGATAAAGCCTATTGTCAAAATGACATCAAAAACTAAGTCAATCAATATAAAGATGGTCTCATGTAGGAACGAAGAAAGTGGCAACGATCTCATTCGTCATACGTTTCGAAAAAAAAAAGAGATAACTTCTTAGCTGATCAGTAATCAACGATCATCATCAGAATAAAAGTGATAGTGAGGATGAGTCTCACCATTACTATCAGAATCACTATTTCATCCTTCCGTGTTATTGACTACTTAGGTGAACGTATTCTTACTGTTGAGCAAAATATGACTTTTTCTCTTTTCGCTAATTTCGTCTTTTTGCCAGTGAGACAGAACTCATGATCACATTAAGGAATGACCAATTTATTGAAGTAGTGTCTTTTCTCGTAACATAGCACAAATGAGGCTAATGCAATACTCTTCTTTCCAAAATGAGATCCCCTCTATACTAATTGCCTAAATTTTGATTTCATTTCGGAAGCTACACAAAATGATAAAGACCTCTCATTATTTTCAAGGATTCGAGTTAAATTGGCAAGCTTCCTTCAAAGAGATCTTGTTATCTTTTATTCACCAACATCAACCAGTTCCCATTGGCTGTTGATTGCTGACGAACGATTCGAATCAAGTATCAGACAGAACTGTTCATGAGTGATCGATAACATGCTAACTTATAATGTCAAACCGTAGCTTTAAGACTTTTTATTATGATATAGCATAAAACCATCAATCGTAAATGATGGTCCTTATTGGTAGCCAATGAATGCATCTTTTGAATAAAAGTTACACATTAGCGATTTCTAAACGTGTATGAATCATATGTGACATAAAATGTAAAAAGGAATTGTAATATTGAAATCTGAAATTTTAAGAGAGGGTTCACAACAGCACTATCCCAACTAGCTGTGGAAAAATTTTAATTTTTAAAGTAAAGTAACTCGTTTGAAGGATTATCAAATATTAGTCAGCAACCTAAACTTTTTACGACTTTGGGGAGAAGTTCTCTAATACTTTAACGATTCGATTTGTTGTGACCGTAAATGTCAATCTGTTCAAAACGATTGGTTTCGGTTCATTTTTGCTTTTGAAATTTTTGATCACAAAATATTGATCGAAGCCATTAGCAAATTATACCAAACGACAGAGTGAAAACCATTTACAAAATCCCGTATTTTATACATGTCAACATGTGGTTTGGAAAAAGAAATGATCCATTATAATATGTGAAATTGACTGTTTTTTTATCTATTTGACATATCGTTTTTTACCCTTCTTGCTTCTGTTATATAATTAATTTTCAAGTATCAAAAAAGAGCTTAAGATATTTTTGTAGAAAATCAAAAGATGCATCTTTTGATAAAAAAGAAACAACTTTGAGTCTAAAGTATTATCAAAATTCTTTTTATATTTTTATGAATCGACTTTTTTTTATCAAAAACCTACTATTGTCGACAAAGTTTAATTTATTTGCTTTAACATCGAAACAACCAGAAGTAGTTATTCAAGTTGAGATTAGCAACCAATGAGCATGCCAGCAGAATGTTTCAACGCGTGCCCAAACATTATATCCTCTCCATTTCAATAAATCTCAATCAGAATGTCAAACGAGGTAAACAAACTTAAAGATACCATTGTGTGCTAACTCGTGACAGGTCTTCTGCAAAGAAAAATTCTCTTTATATATCAACATAGATCATTGGAGGTGGCTATGTGTGCTCAGGTAGATATTATCGACATATAAGACTCTAAGATAGCAATGTTAGAGTCATATATATTAATTCCACTAATCTGAGTGCACATTAGCCAGCTAGCTATAGACACTCAAATACACATAGTCGCTTGACTATGTGCACTCAGGTAAGTGGAATCAACATATAAGACTCTAACATTGCTATATTAGAGTCTTATATGTCAATTATATCTACCTGAGTGCACATAGCCACTTCCTAGATCATTCTTGTTCTTCAAATCAAGAGAAATAGAATAGCAGCTTCACAGTAAAAACAGCAGCACTGAATAATAATAGCACAGTCTCATTCTCAAGTTTCGAAAGCAGAATCAAGTCAACAGTTTGCATTGCCGTCAAGGTTACAGATCGAAATAAGATAAGAAAAAATGAATTATTGCCGATCGTGAAATCTCCAAATACCTCATGTCGAATTGTCAATGGTGATACATTAACAGCCAACAAGAAAAACATGAATGAAGGTAATACCAAAAGCAGCAAAAACAATTTCGGTAAAGATAAGAAGTCATATATGTGATGGAGTTTTGACATGAATGCAATAAAGAGAACTGAAAAAAGAATACACTACTTCAACCATCGATGTTATGTGAAGAAAGAAATGAGTAAAAAAAGAATTAAATTATCATATGGTATTTAATTTATACAATTGATTACCATCGCATATATGGACAATTAAAGGTATTAATAAGTTAATTTTTCTTATACATGTGTCAATCAATTATCAATATTCTGATTCATTCTTTCGTGATGAAAGTTTAATAACAATGCAAAAAATCTCTTGTAAGAATTCTCAATACAAATCATTATCATTTGATTATTATGTATTGTTTTCTTTTCATTACTTGCCTGTAAACATAGTCTCATTCATGCATAATAAGTTTTTTGTGAGTATCGATTTTTTTGTACAGAAAAAACATTGAGATACACTGTAAAGAAAAATTCTCGATCAAAAGGGTTTTTATTTCATTCAATTCATCACAACCAAATTCAGTAAATCAATATCATGTGTAAAATACCAGTTGAATACGTTCTAACCCGTTTGCAGTATTGTTTTCTCCTGAGTCTCGTATTTATGTTCAGTAAAAAAAAAGTTTGCAGTGTTCGCATTTGATTAGAATTCTTACACGAAGAGATATGCGTAAAAACTTGATCCCAAAAAAGTCTAGTCATGTGTCTTATCACGGAATCTTTCCAACTTAAAAATTATTTTTGAGTTCGGACTCTGTGTATTAGGTAGACCTCAATGAAGTATTAAACACTTCAAAAGGATAAGGATCCTAGATCTTCTCTGCAAAGTCATAGTTGCCTTACTAAAATTTTAACCTATAGGAAGAGGAGAATAGCCATCAATTCAGAGCAGCTATATTGTTAAGTTTTCTTCTCGATAGTAATAGTTAGCCATAATTTGAGAAAGTATTTGTCTAGTTGAAAGGATTTTCTATAGGGATTAGTAAGTCCAAATACTCTAAAAAAACTGCTTGAATGAGGATATACGAAAACTCAACATTCTGTTTGCCATTCGAAGCTTTTAGAAAAAAAGTTTTATTTTATAGATCAAATGATTCTAAGCAAAATAAGATGTATTCAACCTCTTTATCGTACTACATTCAACTGACAGAAGATCTAAGGGAAGTTTTTCTCTCTTTCTATTGAAAATCTCAGTGTTTTTGCCCTGTTTGACACTTTGGAACTTTCTGTAAATTGAATACAATTCCATGGAGAAGTCAGAGATATCTCATCTTGCTTACAATTATTTGTTCTACCAAATAAAATATTTTTTCTAAAAGTTTCAAATGAAAGCCAGAAAATTGGTTTTGGTAGTCTTGGTTTTTCGCAGACCTTTATTCAAGTAGTTTTGCTGACGTCTTGGGATCTTCGAATCGTGATGGAGAATCTTTCCAGTTACAAAAATTTTTTTTTTGAGATTCTTGCTAGCGATTACTATCGAGAGGAAAACTTAGAAAGACAACTATTCAAAATTTTTGTCCGCTACGGTACCTTGTTACAGACCAAAAGTTTAGATGAACAGCTGCAACTTTGTAGAGAAAGCCTGGGTATGCTTATTCTGGGAAAGTTTTTAATACCTTATTAATGTGTACCGTATGAACAGGAACCGAACTCAAAAGCGGTTTTGCAATTTGAGAAAGTTTCGTCGTTAGTTTACTGACAAATATACAAAATTTTCTTTCTATCACCTAGTGTCATCTGTCTGAGATGAACATCAATGGTTATGTTGTTGCACATGAGTCGATTATGATTCAGTCGATGAGATAGTAGAATGTCATCCAATCGAAAGTTTTATAAACGACGCGTCACATCTCTATAATTCAGCTGTATGCATACAGCTGAATTTTAAGTTTTTATGAGAAAAAAATAAGCAACGAGAAATTTTCAAAATACCTTAAACTTCATCTTATTCTATTTAATACTTTTTTTTTCTGATTAAAGATAATATTAATTATAATTGCAATAACATGGCTCGTGAAGATGAATATGACTACCTATTTAAAGGTGAGTTATTTTGAATGTAGAAAAAAAGAAAAACTTGAATTATCGAGTATATGTTTATTACATCTAGTGGTGCTTATCGGAGATTCAGGTGTTGGAAAGAGTAATTTATTATCACGCTTTACTCGAAATGAATTTAATTTAGAAAGTAAAAGCACCATTGGTGTCGAATTCGCTACACGGTAAAAACAAATAAAGTCTTTTGTTTTTTTTTGTATCTATTTGTATCTTCTTTTTCAGAAGTATTCAAGTTGATAAAAAAACAATCAAAGCACAAATATGGGATACAGCTGGGCAAGAACGGTATCGTGCAATAACTAGTGCGTAAGTTTCTTAATTAAATTTTTAATGAGTTATATGTTTTTTAAATTATAAAAAAATAATCAAATTAGATACTATCGTGGAGCAGTTGGTGCTTTACTTGTTTATGATATAAGTAAACATAGTACATATGAAAATGTTGAAAGATGGTTAAAAGAATTACGTGATCATGCCGATTCAAATATTGTTATTTCACTGGTAGGTAATAAATCTGATTTACGACATTTACGTTCGGTACCAAGTGATGAAGCTAAAGCGTTTGCTGGTAAATAAATAAATTGAAGTAGTCATTATTTAAATAAACCTTTTTTTTTGTAATATTTTAGAAAAAAATGGTATTTCATTTATTGAAACATCAGCTTTAGATTCGACAAACGTTGAACAAGCATTCCACACAATACTTACAGGTAGATTCAATTTTTTGTTTGATATTTTTTTTTCAGATAATTTTGTTTGTTTATTTGAATTTTAGAAATTTATCGTATTGTTTCTCAACGTCAAATTCAAGATCAAATTGGACATTCAGGTATGAGTGGAGGAAATCCAACACCTGTTCCAATTAAACTTCGTCCAACAGATTCTGACTTTAAGAATGGATCATGTTGTTCTTAGATTATGCTTTTTTTCTTTTCTTTCTCATTAATCTATCATTTAAAACTTGATCATCTTCTTTCTTTCTTTCTTTCGTTCCTTTTTTTTTTCATTATGTAATTGGATTCTGTTCTTTTTGTTGCTCATCTTTGATTATTACACACTTTCCTTTTTCTTATCACGTGTTCACTTTTTCGAAAAACAAAACAACAATCATTCATGCGATGTTTTGATTGAATTATTATCGTACGCATGAATTTTTTGTTTTTCTTGTCTTTGATGTATGACTGTGAATTTTCGTTCGGCGTGACTGATTTTTTTATTTGCTTATTTACTGTTCTTGAAATTTGTCACACTCATCTTTTTTTTTCTTCTTCTTCTTCTTCTTCTTCTTCTTCTTCTTGCAAATAAACAAAACATAGAAAGAAACCACTATAGATAAATTAATGATTTTTGAAAAAGCAGATATCCACTGATTATCTATAGACTTTATTTACAGACACTTCAGATAGAATGTAAATAAATTTCAGGAAAGAAGTAAATCTTAAAAAATACTACTTTCAAAGTAGATATAGTTCAACTAATATCGTGTTCCGGAACTGAAGCGGCTTTTTTTTTCATTGAGCTAAGTTCAAAAGTTGTGTTTTTAATTATGGCTGAGATCAAAAACGACTTATATCATTCTTGTCGGCTGTTTATTGAAGGTCTTAAGTGAGCTTTAATTCACATCCGGAGAAGAAAAAATTTTGCTGCTTCAAAAAATTTTTGTTGATTTGCAAGTAATGACTAAACGTAAATATTATTTTATTGCTAAGATATCATGAAGAACTAAGAAAGAAAGAAAGAAAGTAAGACCTTTTTATTGAGTATTTGTAGATTGCTTTTCTAATATCATCTGTTATAATCATAAAATAACATTGACAAAACGATAGAGACTGCCAATTTTGATAAAAAAGGATGTCGTTTTTATTAACGAAAAACAAAATTATCATACATATTCGAAATAAAACTACAAGTTTTATTACTGCTATACATAAGTCATTGGGTACTCGAATCCTCCTAATAGATTGAGAAATAATATAATCAATCTGTCAAAGCATCTCGGAGCCTATCGCACAGGTCTTGTTAATAATAAACAATACAAAATTGTTAAAAACTAGAGAATTCACGTCTATTTTCAGTATTTTTTCGGCAATCTGTCATGCTGAAGTATCTTGTCGTATATTTTTACTGATCGACTGCTATAGTTAATCCCTCGAATAAGGGATTGAAGTTCTACTAATGCTTTTCTTCTCTTAATTAAACAATATTTACATCCTTAGAGAATTTATGATTAATGTAGTATGCAGTTCTTCTTTCTAAAACCACATAGAAATCAATGGCTTTCTTTTTTATAGCATTCGAAACTATCAAGCGTTAATATGAAAAAATCTAGAAAATTTCAAAAATTAATTATTTGATGCGTGATTGATTGTTAATTGTTGCTCTAGAACGTTCTATGTAGGAACTTTCCTTTGCAGATCTATCAAAATATAAATTTAAGGAAGTCCTTTGCAAGTTTTATTTCTTTAATTCAAGAGTAACAATATACTTCTATTCTGTCTGAACAATATGGAGATAGAATTTCGACTTAAAAAATTCCATTCAACAATTTTAGATCTACTAGCAAACGATCGAGCTACAACATCTACTTAGATTCTTTATTGTTTCTAATCCAATTTCATCATAACTAGTTCACATCAGTCAAAACAAAGTTCTGAAAAGAACACAATGAAATAAAATATTTATTAGCTGGATTAGGTTAAAGTAGAAAAACTGAACAGTTTATTCAGCTCCGCTCGAAGATATCATGAATGTAACTAACTTTAAAAAACATTTTCAGAATCGATATTTGAACTCTAATGGTAATTAAGAAAATTCTTCGAAAAATAAAATGTAAAAGTAACCGATTAAAATTCATTTGATTGTACGGTTCATGTTGAATTCCTTTCAAATTTTTCAACAATCATTTTATTTCGTATGTTCACGACTGTTTGTCAAACCTTTTTATCGAATTAAAAATCGAAGAATTTCAATTTGAAATCTAGCTTTTAAATATTACACACGAAAGAGATTCTTATCAATATTTACTATAATATGTCAAAAGAAAAAACTTTTTTTCCTCATAAAATTTACAGACTTGTTTCAATTATCCTAGAGAATAGATTAAATAAGAAAAGTCTATCTATCATCATATGTAATGAGAAATAAAAACAAAATAGACCAGAATATTTTGACATATACAAGATAAGTTTTTTTGACCTGGATTTTATTGATCATACACAAAAACGATACAAGTTGATTTGAAAAATCTAAAATTTTGTATCTAAATATATCTCGTTTCTAATTTGATTGCTATTTATCTTAATTTGCGTGCAATTTTTCATATAAAATAATCTGATCTAAAAATAAATGTCATCTATTTTCTCAACCACATAAAAATGAAATGTCAATCAATTCATTGAATCTCATAGAATATTCTGGTAATAGTAAAGGCCTTCTGATAGAAGAAAAGAAAGATAATCAGTTTAAAAAAAAAACAAAAGAGATTGCTTTGAAAAAGATTTATTTATCCTAGCCTATATGCCTCATACTTTTTCTATTCTCTTGTAAGTGTTCCCGGCACTGCTTTTATGAAGAAACTCATTTTTAGTTGTCACTCACGCTAATATTAATCATCATCCGATTGTCCCATTGTGATCCATTGTGATTTACTATTCTAAGAGAACTAAACCGAAAAGATTCGGGTGCGTTTTTTTTTTGTCAAGATGAGCTTTAACATAAAGTTATTACGCGTACATATCAATTGGTCAAAAATCACGATTACTACCGAACTTGTTCGTCTTTTTTTCATTGTATATATTTCAAATAAAATTTACATAGTGTCAAGATGACTAAGCCAATCATTACATTTATCTTGATATGTATGTGTTGATAATTTTGATGAATTACCAACAGCTAAAAGTGAATATCCATCACTAGTTAATAATCTATTGTCTGGTTTAATGTATGATGCATGATATCCACTTTCTGAAAGGTCAAAAAAACTTCCATACAATGAATAACGTGATGATGAAGCAGCAGGAGAATATGTACCATTATTTGGACCAAGAAACTCCATACCAACATTAATTTTAGTTGATAATGTTTGTGAATAAAATAATTTTTCATTTGAAAAATAATTATTTGGATATGAATATGATCGAATAAAGTAATTTTTCAAACGATTTAATGATGAATAATGTATAGCACCGGATAAATCTTTATATGTTTCACCATAATTTGGTAAACTTAATGAACGTGATACAGATTGTTTTTTCGATGATAATGTTGTTGTTGCTGTTGTTGTTGTTTTTGTGGTTGTTTTGATTAATTCTTCATTATCTTCTGACGAACAATTATCAATAACAAATCTAGGCGTAGGATGAACTGAACGTATATTATTTGCCATAATCTATGTATAGAAATAAACGTCAAACGAATTCAATCATATTCGATTAGATTTTAGTGTATGTTGACATTTAGTAGTATAACGTATTTCCGTTCATTTTTCTCGTAAGTAAATGGCAAAAAAAGGGTAATGTCATTCATTAAGTTCTATCATAAGCCAGGAATTCCGTAAGAACCCTTTTAAACTCTTTGAGTATAGCGTTTGCATAGAATACAATTTTGGTACACGACTCTATAATATTTTTTTATGATTTCAAAAAAAAGTAAAAAACAAAAAGAAAACTTATACTTTAACCATTTTGTACTAACTTCGATAGACTCAGAAACATATTTTGTATTCATATTTTCTCAGATATTTATCTCTTTAGTCAATTGTAATGACATATCCCGACAGATCTTTAGTTGCTTTTTTCTCTTCCATTTGCTCTATTTTTCTGAAATCCGATTGTTGATTTTGTCTGTTCCTCTTGACAAAAGAGACTTAGAGAAAAAAAGACGAAGGAAAAAAAGATAGATTCTCATCTTGAGTGTATTCACTATCATTCACATATTTATTAATATATGGAATATATGGAATATATTAATACAAACACACACACATACACGAACAACATTCTCGGATGTCTGCATTTTTCAAGTGAAAAATATGTTTGTATTGTTTTTTTTTTAGATAATAATTTGTATCCGGATTTGAAATAGTCAATTTTTCACGAATAATATAATAGAATAAGTAAACAAACATTTTTTGTTTAAAATTACTATTTCAAACAGGAAAAAGAAAGGTTCCTCTTTCTATTTAACGGCTGGCTTGATAATGTTTGTGTTATTTTAGAAAATCTGATTGATTTTCACTTGGATAACATAAGAAAAATGTTCTCTATTGGTATATCTGTTTTTTTTTTATAACGACTTAATTTGATTATTAATAGACAGTCTATTCTCAAGAAAGAGATTGAACAGAGTTCTTATGACCGTTTCTTCCAAGCATCACAAGAAATATTAACAACAAAACTCGATGAAGCTAATTCTATTTTTCATTAAAAAAGAAAAAAAAAGGCTTTTAGCAAATGGAAGTTTCGTGGATAAGATAAAAATATCATACTGTGCATAGTAGTAAGCTTTTGTAAATTTTTCAAAAGATCTATCAGATATTATCGAAGTTTGTTTTTAATGAAAAATCGTGACTGATATTTTTGTCTGTCAAAATCTGTAGGACGGAAGAGTTCTAGACTTCCTTTCTATAGGCCTCGACACTAATTGATAACAACATTGTGACAACTATAATCTCTAAAATTTTCAACCTCAATCTATTACTATGAAACATCAATGAAATACTATTATGAAAAATATGTGTTTTTCTTCTTACGTATCTTTTTTTTTTTCAGAAAAAAATTCTTTCTACTATTTTTTTTCAAATTGATTAAAAGAAACTATTCTCATCTTTAACATCATATTAGTGGATAAAAACTATATCGAAAGTATTCAATTACATATTCTTTGAATTTTACAATGATCTTTACTCTTTAATTATTAATTATACTTAAATATAAAAATACTTTGCTTTATATTTCAAATATATCTTTTTTTTTTTCTAAGAATCTTATCATACTTTCTAGCATTTATTGTTACTTTGACTCCTACAGAATGAGTCATTTTGAAAAATCGTTTGTAAATCATTCGACTGCAAAAAAATAGTGTACAGTGAGAGTTTATCTATTACTGTTAAGGGTGACTTCGCTCTTTTCATCTTATCTTCTTTTACACAGTAGTCGTTCGTCACTATCAAGTCACATCGTTTTATCTCTTTCATTTTCTGTTTTCTCTGATGTGTTTTTTTCCGTCTTTCTCTTTAACGTAAGTAATCAATTCTACGGGACAAAGAACAAATATATTCGTGTTACATATCTCAACAAGATAGCGAACAAGTGAAACACGTTATATATTTTCAATAAAATAATCTCAGGAGTAATATAATAGTGTGACTAGCATATGACAACTTCTACTTGACTGAGAAGAGAAATAAAACCATCTATGTAAACTGCATACGTAAAGCAAAATAATCTTCACACATTATGTACAGAAAGTTTCTATTAAAGAGAAATATGTGTTGCATCAAAGTGAAGAAAATATTACTCAAAAGAAAAACAAAGAAAAATCACGTCATTGTGTCCTATAATGCAAAAACAAAACTGAAAAATTATAAATCGAATTATTCCACTAAAATTAATATACTTTTTTTGATTATTAGTTCTATATTGTTTTCTCATGTTATTTATTTTCTTTGTTGAAACACATGTGTCTTTATTAATAGAAAATTGTGTTTACATAGCGCTCGAAGATTATTATACTTGATGTTTACAGTCAACATTCATTACTTGATTTCTACTGAAAACAATGTCGAAGTTGTAACATGCAAGTCAAATTGTTAGATTACCTATGAGATTATTTTATTGCAAATATATTTTATATTTTAGCTGTTTGTTATCCTATTGAGACATTTAACATGAATGTATTTCTTTTTTGTACCGTAGAATTGATTACTTACGTTAAAGAGAATGACAGAAAGAAAAATATAAAAAAAAACAAAATGAAAGACACAAAGCGATGCGACTTAGTAGTACCGAACAGCTTTTGTGCAAGAGTAAAGAGAAGAGAAAGAAGATGAAAAGAGAGAAATCATCCCTAGCAACATATTAACTCTCTTCAAATACTATATTTATTCGAGTGTATGATGTTCTGCCAGCAGACTTACTGTCCATTGATTACATAAAAAGAAAAAAAAATATATATATATATTCTAATTAGTCTTTTTTCTTATCAGAGAATTTGTTGTCTGTTGGAGAGAGAGAGAAATAAGTAGTGACAGTGGGTGTGATAGAGGTTAGTGTATAGTGAAGACACTGACACTAACCCACCCTCACCTTAGCTTTGTCCTTATTTCCATCCCACATTCACTTTGGTAGTCATTCGCTCATTTTGTCTTGGTTCAAGCAATCAACGAAAAGTGAATTCCCATACAGAAAAAAACATGATCAATTGAAAAATATTTTTATGTAATCAAGGAACAGTAGAGATTGTATAAACTATTTCGACTATCAGATAATCAACAAACTTACTATGCATATAATTCATTGTTTATTTATGAAATGGATGATTTATCTTGTCAAGAACACTATTAAGAAATCTAATTAATCTTTTGGGGTCAAATAATCGATATTGAACTGCATAAAAATATACTCAAGAAAAAACATGTTCATAAATTTCTATATTCATATTATCTACAGGTGTACTATATTCTCTAACAAAACCAGCAGAATATATATAATTGAGAAGAGATATCTATTAATCGATTTTTCCAAAGAACTTTTTTTTTTTTCGATAGGACAAAATAATGTGCTGATACGTTTTAACTGTTATTTTTGATAGAGTAAAAAGAAAAATTTTTCTATAGGATGATTGTTTTTTAATAAGAAGACTGATGCGTGAGAGATATAGGATATTTTGGCTATGTACGAATTGATACCGAAAATTAAGCCAATTAAGAAAAAAGCGGTAGCAATTTGGAATGAATAATTTTACGTTGATTTCATTTTTTATTCGATTCCAAATTGAGACCACTTTTTATTGATTAGTTATCGATGTATATGATTGATGAGTTGTACTGTAATGATAATGTTGATATATAAGCCTAAAAAAAGATCGCTAGTGAATATCACACAATGGATACGAAATTTGCTTGGTCAACAACCGAAAAAGGTGAAAAAGCCATTCTATACAATAATTATTTATATCATTTAAAACGAGAAAATAAGAACACTTCATCACACTATGTCTGCACTTTTAATTCGTGTTCTCGATCTATTACATTGAAAAATAATGTAATTATAAAATCAAATGCTGAAAATCATAATCATGAACCGAAATTGCCAGAAAATGTTCAAGCAGTATATTGTGGATTGAAACGTCGAGTATTAGACGATGTAGATCAGCCTATTTCAAAAATTTATGAAGAAGAAGTAAAAAAATTCGTAAGCTCTTGTCTGTTGCAATTGTACCGAGTATAGATCATTGAATTTATTGTTTAGCGTCGTGAAAACGGAACAGCTGGCCCTGTTCCAGTCTTTCAGGCGTGGAAATCGACATTGTACTCTATTCGTAAAACAATATTACCCCCGACACCACTATCATTATCATCGATTATAATTCCTGAAGATATGTATTTTAATAATACGAAACAGGAATTTTTATTTTGCAATTCATCAACACCAAATAAAGTTATAGCTTTTGCATCAGATCAAGGATTAAAACTACTAAGTAAAAGTCCACATTGGAATGGTGATGGCACTTTTCGAACATCACCTGCACTATTTACTCAATCGTACTATATACATGTATGGGATGAGTTCAGTATGAAACCAATAATTTACTCATGTTGTGAGAATAAATCTGAAAAATGTTATCGCGAGTTACTTCAATCATTACTTACTCACGCAGAAAAAAAGAATATTTCATTAAATCCATCATCGATTTTAATAGATTTTGAACAGAGTATGATCAATGCTATTAATGATGTATTTCCACAAGCATTAGTTAAAGGGTGCCACTTCCATTATGCTCAAAATATATGGAAAAAAGTTAAAAAATATAATTTAGTAAAATTATCAAAAGAAGAAAATATTCGTCGTCAAATAGCTAATATTATTGCGTTACCTTTAATACCTCCAAAGGAAGTTGATAATTGTATGGAAAAGATTATTGATGAATTATCTAATTATGATTCAACATTGAATAAATTAACTGATTATGTTATCAAAAATTATATTGAAGATGCTCGATTTTCTTTAAGTATGTGGAATCATTTCGATAACATTGGAGAAAGACCACGCACAAACAATCACCTAGAAGGTTATCATCGACAATTAAATGCAAGAGTCAGAACTAATCCTGACCTGTGGACGTGGATTAATGAAGTGAAGTCATCAGAAGAATCTATCATGTGTCGTTATGAGCAAGAACAAGCACAACAGCGAACAACAAGGCCAAGGAAAGGAAAATATATACAATATGATATGAAACTTATGTTAGCAAAAAAAAATATATTCAAGATGAAGATTTTGATTCATATCAAAAAGTTTTGCGTGCTATTTCTCATCGCTATATCTACATTATAAAAGATACTAAAGATAGTAGTGATGAAGAATAATTTTTTTTCTGTAGTCGTTTTTTCAATAAATTTTTTTCAATCAAAAGCGTTGACTAATTGATAATTTAAAAAGTGGTCTCAATTTGGAATCGAATAAAAAATGAAATCATCGTAAAATTATTCATTCCAAATTGCTACCGTTTTTTTCTTAATTGGCTTAATTTTCGGTATCAATTTGGAAGCTACGGATATTTTTATAATAATATAATCAAAATGATTCATTATTTCAAAGGAGACATCAATAACCTTTTTTTTGTAAAATGACATGAAATTCCTTGTTTATTTTTTGTATATTAGTAAAATCTAGGTTGTTACAATTACAGATCTCATTTATGTTCTTTTCATCAAATAATGTGGAATTTACATGCCAGTTTTTTCGTATAGCAATCAATGATATATGAAAATATATCCGTAATTCTTATAAACATTTGTTTAAAGAAGAATTATTATCAATATCTTATAAGATGATTTTTTGCTTTTTAATTATTTAATTTTTTTTATGAAAAGATTCTTTTGTTAACAATTTTGTTTCTTTTCTTTCCTTTACTTCTTTGTAACATGCAACATAGAATGAGTTTTCACACATATCTTCAGTTTGCTATAATGAATTACTTGATTATAGTTCACATTTATTTTATCATGAACAACAGATATTACATATAATCGAAGAATATTCGAATAAAAAAGGATAATTGAATTCGTTGTGACAGTATATGAGAAAGAGAAAAAAGAGCTGAAATAAAATATATGAAATAGACACACAACCAGAGGACTATTATCAAAGATGTTTGAATCTATAAATGAAAAAGAAAAACAAATGTAGATGTCATGTTTAAAACAAAAGGCATCATTCTAAAATAGAAATGTGTATTTTATATTGAAATTAAATTCTAGTATGGTCATAAGCAAACATAGTCGGTTGTTGTTGTTGTTGTTGTTGCTGTTGTTGATTGTAATTCATATCATTATTAGTATTATTAATAATTCTAACACCATGTTGTTGTTGTCCTTGATAAGGATAAGACATTTGTTGTTGATAATATAATGGTGCATTATATGTTGATGGTGAATGTATTGATCGTGTCATTTGTTGTGGTTGAAGTTGCTGCTGTTGTAATTGTTGTTGTTGTAATTGTTGTTGTTGAAGTTGCTGCTGTTGTAGTTGCTGCTGTTGTAGTTGCTGCTGTTGTAATTGTTGTTGTTGAAGTTGCTGCTGTTGTAATTGTTGTTGTTTTTGCTCAGGTAAAAATTGAGCTGATGTTTGAAAACTTCCACTTTGATGTTTTTGTGCAATAAATTGTTGTATAAGTTGAGGATCAATTTGACCGTGTGGATCTTGTTGTCGAAGTGCACTCCAATCAATAATTGGTTCTGTAAATACAGGTGCAAATTGTTGTTGATAAGCTCCTTGATTTAGTGCACCATAAGATGCTGAACGAGTTAAATCCATTTGCATAGGTTGTACATGTTGAAAATTCATATTGTAATTATTTGGCATTGGTTGATTATCTGAACCAGTTCGTTGTCGTATTGATCCCTCACGATGTGTTAAATCAACAGCTGGATGCCATTGTTTAGGTAAAGTAAATGGTTGTTGTGTTGTATTCGAAACTAATGGTGCTGATGATGGTGGTATAAGACGTGTATGAATTGCATTAGATAATTCACGAATATCCGAATCATTAATTGTTTGATTATCTGGTCCTAGATTTGTAATCATAAATTCAATACGTTTACCAGATGCTGTTATATATTCATAACGACGTTGTGGTTCAAGTATACGTATTTGTTCAATATTCATTGATGGTTGGTGATCATGAATTGATGAACCTTGATGATGAAATAACATTGATTGTTGTTTTAATGGTATACGTGGTGGTGGTGGCGGTGGTGGAATATTTTGACGTGGTATTTGTTGTTGAGAACTCGTTGGTGATTGTTGTGAACGAATTTTTGATAATACTTCTGGATCATCAATAACATATTCTCGAATAAATGTACCATCAGCTTGTGGAACTTCTCTTGCTGTAACACCTGACATTTTAATTAAATCATCAACACCATCAATTGATATTGGATTTCCATTTTCATCAATAATTTCATATTGTGAATTTATTTGTTGTTTAGTTTCATGTATTGATGATATTGGTGTCAATGTTTCGTGATGATGACGATATTCTTCACCTTGTCGATGTATACGTTGAACTTCTTCATCAGCGTCATCAGCTGAATTTAAACGTCGAATGGATGAATTTAATGTTGGTTGTAAATGTTGACTATTTAATGTATTTTGACTTGCATTTGAAGATATTCGAGATGCAATAGGAATTTCAATATTGTTTCGATTAATTGTTGATAAATCCGTTGATCCTCGTCGATTTCTCGTATATAAATCATTTGTTTGTTGATCAGAATTTTGACGTGTTGTTGTTGTTGTATTGCTACTAGCTAAAGATGATGACGATGGTGATGCCATAATATTTATTGAAGATTTTTGTTCAAATTTAGCTTTTATTTGTGCAAATTTATTTTTTAATGATTGTTGTTCGTCGTCTGAACCTGTTGTTGATGATGTTGAATCGATTGATGGTTTGATTTCTTTAAGTAAATTTGGATCGTCAATAATATATTCTAAATAAAAATAACAAGATAAGAACAAATAATATGCGTTATTGTATCATGTGAATAAATAAAGGAAAAATGACGTATATATTCACCTCGTACAATCGATCCGTCTGCTTGTTTTATTTCACGTACATTTGATGCATAATTTCTCCAATTATCACCATAACGATTTTTTATTGTATCTGCGTCATAACGTTGTATTTGTTCGTTAGCAAATAGTTGATCATCATTATTATGTGCTGATGAATAGAAGGACTGTGGATTTGTTCTTGTTGTCATTATTATCTATTTTTAGTCTATGGATATGAACTTGGATGTTTAAGTTAGATGAATAGGATGAGAAGAAAAAAGAAGAAGAAGAAGAAGAAGAAAAAAAGATATTATTGTGCATTAGAGCGTGACGAATCACCTATATACTTCAATGTAAAACATTATTGAAAAGTGTAAAGCAATTTTTTTCCTTTTGCCTTATTATATTGCAATCTTGTCATTACTCTCGTTAATGAATTGAACTATGATATAAAAATATGACACCTTTCATTTGCTTATAAACATTAATTGAAAAGTTGTTTTTGTTCTTTCTAATCTTTAAATCAATCAAAGAAAAAACAAAAAAAAAAAAAAACACAAATATCTTTAACAATGCAAGAACAAAAAGAAAAAAAGACCAGTTTATCTATTCTATTTTAAGATGGTTTATCTGATCTCGTATCTGATCATAAACAGGTGATACACGATAACCATAAAATCTTGCTTTTTCTAATTCACGTTTAACATAATGTTCAGCATTAAATTGTTCAGCTTTACCAAGTATAATTGAATTTTCCATGTCAAATAATTTGCCACGACGTTTTATTTTTTCGCGTAATTTTTTAAGTAAATCATATTTAAATTTTTTTAACCATTTCTTTTTATGATGTAAACGCATACGACGTGAACGATATGCAACAGTATTTGTTAACCGACTCGGATGATTACGTACACGTCTTTGACGTTTATAACGATAATTTGTTGATGTCCAAGCACATTGAATTTTTTCATTTGTTATCGATGGACAATCATAATAAAGAAGATCATCATGCAAAGAACATTTATCTAGTATAGATATTGTATTTGTTGTTGTTATCGAAGCTGGAAGTATAGCAGGCATCGGAACTCTCTGTGAGGATGGTAACTGTTGAGGTAAAGGTATACGACAACTAGTAGGTTGGTATCCAATTGATGGAGATATACTAGCTAAAATAAAATAGAAAATTATGATGTTTCTTTTAAAATTTTAATATTCATACTCGATAATGGTGTCATATTTAATCGTCGATATAAACATGTTCCAAATTGTTTTCCTATTATAGAAATTCCAAAACATTTTCTTAAAAACATTGTTATCTAAAGAACGAAAAACAAAATGAAGACTATTACACACATGTAAATATAACTTCAAATCATCTTCGTCAATGTCTGCTTGTTCGATTTTACTTTTTGTTATTTTGCATTTGTATACCAACAAGTTCAAATAATGCGCACACACAAAAAAAGCAAAACAAATAGATATAGATATAGATTTAAAACAAAAAAGAAAACGATAGAGATGGCCTAACAAAAAAAGAAGAAAAAAAAATATCAAACTTTATATATTTTTTTTTTTTTTTTGTTAATATGCATTGCGTCAACTTATATAGTGGCTATTACAATGTGGTATACACACAAAACAAGAAAATTCACATAGAAACATATGATATAATTGGAGTTATAAGATATATATGAGGAAATTTCTTCGCCTTGGCTCTATTCATCATCATCAATTTTCGTTCTCTTTACTTATACATATATAAATACAATCTGTAGAGAGAAAAAGAGATATACACATACACACAAAACTGAATAACAATCAAAAAAGAAGAACGTATGTGACTTTATTTTGATAGATGAGCAAAAAGGAAACAGAAACAAAAAAAAAACCAATAGAGAGAAGAAAAGGTTTTCAAATGATATTCATATAAACAGCCCGAGAAGAAGAAGAAAAATGAGTTGATTATTTCAAAAGAAAAACAAGCAAGCCGGATTGTTGTATTTAGTGGCGTTGTTGATCGATTCGGCTTACTTTTCGACATTCGTATAATTGTTGATAAAATTCATTTACTGCCGTATTGATAAATTCGACGGACGGCGCTACGATTAATGAAATTAAAACAAAAAAAAATCAGATTTTATCATAAAATAATTTAAGATTTCAAAACGAAATTTGACTTCATTTCGTACATATTAGATTCGATGAACTCTAACCACAATTAGAACTCGTCGGGTTCAAAAAATTTCGATCTCGAATCAGAATCCTACTTTTAATATTCTTAATGGAATTTTTCAATGCAAATCTAATAGTTGTTTCAAAAATACGAGTTGTTCTTTTTCGATTATTTGTTTTCGGTAAGTATCATTTTCCACACATTTCTCAAGTAATTTTGACAGAAATCTTATAATAATCAAGTTATAACTGATACGTACTCTTGAGTAGAGTCCGTGAGACGTATACCTTTTCCACAGTGGACAATTACTATTAAGAACCGTGAATATTACTTATTTTCTGCCATACGAATTATTTCTATGGAAATATTAGCTATAAGATTGATAAAAAAAGAGAAATTCGAAAAAAGGACCATTTCCAATCACTAGTGAATCTACGATTTTCATGAAAGGGAATGATTGGGTGAGATTGGAGATCGATCATGATCATAAAACGTGTTTTGAAGCTCATTCGACGTAATATCAGCACATTTTTAGACCGTTTCTGAAGGAGAGAGGGGGGGGGCAGAACAGGAGGATCATCGCTCCTTCTAAATCCGCTATTGTTTCCAATGTAAAATCTTTGAAGAGAACCCTTATCCTAAACATGTGTGAAAATTTTTTTTTATTTTGAAAATTGACAAATAGTACATCACTCAATACAGTTTCTCACGCTAATTTCAAATATATCTTGATTTTTTTCTCAAAGTGCTTCTATGACAAAGAAATCGTGAAAAGCCTTTAAACACGAAAGTTTTTAGAAAATCTATATTTCAGCTCAGAAATCTTTGCGCTAACTGAGTACATGTCCCAGATATGGAAGAATATTCTCTGAAAATTTCATTAATATTAGACTAGTGAAGAGTAGTGACTACCAAATTTCCTGAAATCCTCTTTTTGGAAAACGAAGAATTATTTTTTCAAAACGAAATTTTTTCTTATGAATCGGTAGAGCAGAGTTTCTAGTTTCACACTATATATGAGCTATTGTCCAACTCTTCAAAAGATTATGTTTTCCTCCAAAGGTACTGAAATTTGACATTTTTTGCGACTAAAGTTTTCTAATGAATATAGCTACTTGAATAATATTGTTTTTACAAAAAAGCTAGTTGTTAATCGAAGTATACAAGTTACTATTCGAATCTTGAAAAAGCTCACTTTCATCTTTTTATCTAATCTACATGCTGTTGTTCACTGTGGGTTCATATTTGGCATCTAACCAACTGATTTTATTTGAAGAACCACGAAGAAACATCATCACATACGGATCGATTTCGATATGAAAACGAAAACTTCGAAACAATATTTCGTGTTGGAATGTCTGCAGATTTTTTTCGGTGACTTCCAGCCAATTTCCTATTCTTTCCGGTGGAAGCGAACAGAAGTTGTGGAGATAATCTGCAGAGTTTTTGATCTGGATTATTGCTTTCGAGTTCCATTGATTTCCGATCGGATACTGTGACTTTCTCGCATGCTTCCGACTAGTTCCGATTAAACTCGCTTGCTTCCGGAGGCCTCAGTCATCGCCTGAGAGTAGTCATTAAGGCGACAAGAAAGTCACGATAACAGACAAAAATATTAATACGAAATAAAATATTTTTTTTATATATTTACTCTCATACAATTATATGCACCTTCTTGGGGAGCATCCAAAATGCAGAGATAACACAATGATTTGATGAATTTATGTTCGTTTTAAATAACTGATCACTTATTTTTCTTTGTGGAACTATACTTTTGCTTCTTAAAATTTACGTTAGCTAATCAGTTATACACAAATATTCTGCATGTTTGTATACAACAACAATCGTTCAATAAACTCAATGATTAATGCGAACACAATATCACGACAGCTCTTGGTCAATTGATTTCATACTAAAGATCAATATTTTAACATGAAAAGATTTAGGAATATTTCAAATGACGGTCCATTGATTTAGTAAGTCCTGAGAAATAAATCGAAACAATTCTATTTCATTCAAACTAAACTGAATTTTCTTTAAGTCATTTTCCTCATGTAATCTTCTACTCTTACTAAGAAAGGAATAAAATGTCACTTCATAATACTTCGTTAAATTACATTGATAGTTCAATGCTATTTCGATTGATGACATCTTATAATTAAGACCGATAAGAGTATCAAACTAATATAAGATAGAAGCAAAAGATGTATATAAACTAGGTCGTTAGCTGTCTGACATTTAATCATCTCTCTCATTTACACGGTATAGAAGGTTAAGAACGGGCGTAAACTGCAAATTTGACATATGACCGATGGCTCATAATAAATAGACCACTTTTGATTTCAACTTTTGAGATATTAAACAATTGTTTCAAAATTGTAATTATGATCTCATTTAGATAATTAATTTAATTCTACATAAAACTGTTGACTTTGTCTTTCGAATGAATTTTTGGCATCAATATAATATTGACGTAATTAACATGCACTCAATTGTATGGATGTGAAAATCAAAAAAGAAGAGCGAAAAAGTTTCAGAACTTTTTAAGAACTGAATCAACTGAAATATTCTATATAAAATTCTTCATCTGTCAATGTAATTTTTAAAGTTTTCGAACAAATATTTAGGATAGAAAATGTCGAAACAGCAGCAAAAGTTTCTTCTCAATTGATTCGAACTATTGTGTTTTTTGATAGATTTAAAATAGCAAAAAATATTCGGTTTCAATTTCACTTATTCTAAACAAAAAAAAACACTCAGAACTATGCTACAGTTGTCAATGCATAGAGAAAACAATTTTCTATGTTTTAATGCACAATACTTTATTTTTAATATCGCTCATGATAAAGACAATCATGTATATCTCTTTTTTTTTATCTTGATAAAAAAAAGGAAATTGAAATTTGACAACTGAATAAATCTTAAGCTCACGGAGTTGACATCGACATAAAAAAAATCTATTTAAAAAAAAACAAAGTCCACAACTTTGTAGAGAATGAGATTATAACCAAAATATAAAACAATTATTTAAATGTCTCGAACAGAGAAATTAAAAGTAGGTCATATCAAATAGAATAATCGTTAATAGTAAAGCTGATTGTTTGGTCGTTTTTTACAAGATATATTTTCATATTACCTGTCAATGTAACACTACCAGTCGTAAAAACTTTGAGAACAACTTTATTGTTTAATCTGACTGTAGCACCCGGATGAATTTCGGGTTCATAACTAAATAAATTCAACATAATAAAAATCATGTATTCTGTGTTTTGATGAATGTTTTTTTTTTTTACCTGACATATTCTGGATACATTCGACTCAATTTAATAATATCAATTGGCCATGGCATTGAACATGTCGCAAGACAATTGACAATACGGTAATTTCGAAACTTGGTTTTGAATCCAAGCCGTTGTAAACATCGAGCAATACGTCGCGCTGCACGTTGCGCATCATCCTCACTGGAATACGCAGCAGTATACACTTTATATGTAATGCAACTACTTTTAAAGTTTTTTATACACACACCTCGTTGTTCCTGTTACTATCACTTTGCCCGATGACCAGACGTTGGCTGAACAATATGGTTTTCGAATCTTCATCAATACCATCTATATGAGAGAAAAACAAAAATAAGAAACAATCTTTGTTTTTAGATTTTTATTTTTTAATAAATAAAACTTACCGCATGATCACGTTTATATATAACATTTGCAGCTTCCATAGCAATTTTACGTAGATTCAATTTACAACCAAGTGCAAATGAACATACAATATTATTTACAAATAATTCTATTTCAGAATCTTGTTGATTACATTCTATATCGATATCATTACCTAATGAAGTCTAAATGAAAAAGATAAAATTTTATTTTGTTGTTTTGTTTTGGATAAAAATAATTTTTTGAAAATTTCCTCATTTTTTTCCACCTGTTCTTCTAAATTTTCACAAGGTATTGGTTGTCGTTGAATTGTTGATGGTGTTAATCGTCCAAGAATAGATGTCTCAACACAAGTATTCAATGGCAAATTATTATTTGAAGATGATATTATTGGCATTTGTCCACTTATTGCTGTATTACTATTATTAATTATTGTAAATGATGGTGTTATATGACGTACTGTTTGTGCAGATTGACGAATAATATTACTTGTTGTTGTTGATGATTGTGTTGCTATATAAAATGTTGAAGAATTTCCATTTAATATTGAAACAACTGATGGTGTTGGCGTTGTTAAAAGCCATGGAGGATTTGTTGTAGAAGAAGATGGTACAAGCGTATGATGATTATTTGATGTATTCATTATTTGAAAACTAGGACGAACAACAGCAGCATTTGGTACCGCAGAAGAAGTTACATTTGTTGTTTGAAACATAATTTATTATCTGACACAAATTTTGGATCGATTTTTTAGAAATATTGGCAATACATATGTTGTTCTTTTTTTTTCCGAGCACACCGTCTGCTGTTTCCCAGCTGATCATGTCGATCGTTGTTATATATCCTATGGTTACCATGAGACAATTATATGTGCCTCTATACATGAGTGTTTTATTGTCCATAGTTTATCGATATTATTCCAAAGTTTGATTCAGAATTTTTATTTTACATTAATATATAAACAATATAATATAAAGTGTTTTTCAAAAATTTTGAATTAATTTTAGAATCTATCCTTTGTATAAATAACAAAAGAAAACTTTTTTCTAAGCATCTTTTTCTAAATTAATTTTTGCATGAATTTTGTTAGTCATGTCTTATGGTTTGTTTAGAAAGAAACGAATATATGAAATATACAGAGTTTCTTGAATAAATGAGTAGTAAGTTACGAGAATGATGAATAATAGCCGAATGAAAGCAGAAGAAATTGACAGGAATAGAGTCCGTTGAGTCCCAAATCTTTATATCTGAATCCAGCTGATCAAACTTTCTCGAATTTGCACTCGAATCGAACGGCTAATTTCAAGGAAATTTTTTAGTTTGAATCTTCAAATTGTTTTGAAGATGCATGATACTTTTAATCGATTATTTGTGTTCTATGACTAGCACACTGCACACATGTATCAGGCAAGTTTGACGATAGCCTGGTAATAAATAAGTCATAGTTGGCTATTACTTTTACAGCATGATTTGTTCGATCGGTTTCGGATTCACTCAATAGAATATATTCAGATTCTGACTATAACCGAACCGGATCGAAGAGCTCTAATTGATAAGTAACAGGAATGGTCACACATATGTCAGGGGTCGCAGTGATCTATGTGTTGAAACCAGAATATTGTAAAACCTATTTTATTATTTCTGTATAGAGCCTATCTGTGTATATCAATGGAAAACATAATAATAAATTTATAACACTTGTTCCTTTAACAGTTACTCAAATCATAGTTATTACTCAATGCAAGCTCGTTGAAATTTATTAACAACAAAATAACATATAGTCTATTTTATTTAACTGTAGACCCTTGTGCTGTGCATCGGTTTCAATCAAATTTTTTAAAACTGTCGTGAAATTCTGTTGAAAATACATCTATTTCGTTCAATAAATATTGCTTTTTTGATTTTCTAGAAGTTAAAGATCGTTTTAATAAACTATTGAGTACAGCATTTTAAATTATTATCAACTCAATGGAGAAAAAAAGTAAGACTTGAGTAGTCTGCAGTATACGATGGTTCACTGATGCTTCGCCGTACTTCATTCTTACTTTGAAGTAGTGAAGTTTCGCTTTTTATCTCTAGTTAATGCTTCTTTGAACATTTTATGTAAGTAAATCTTTTCACCTTTTTCATGAATACAGCTTAGTTTCGTAGTAATTGTTTTTCTTTTTCAATGACAAAGTGCGCTAAATCATGAATTAAGTATTGTATCCAAACAGAGCGTAAACCTTAACAAAGTTTATAGAAATAAAATTAAAACGTAAAAAAAATTTGAAATTTGTACTCAGTACTTTGCTTAAGTCATATTTAGCTTTAAAAAGGAAAGACACAACATTCGTTGAACGAATACAGATAAGTTTTTATTACAGAATTCCACGATGATTTAAAAAATTTGGCTCAAACCGATAAAAATGTAAGGCATCAACGAAAAATGAGAAGTGTTCTTCTTTAGTACTTGCACACCAATAACAATTGCCAATGTAAAACTAGCTGTTTTGAAACCAAAATGAGTTGAAGATTATGAAAATTACTTAAAATCAATTATAGAATAATCCAAAAAAGAAAATATAATTTGAATATTATATCTTTCTTTTTTTTATGAAAAATAGGGTACAACCATTTTAATTAAAAAAACACATGAAAATAGATTAAAAATAATGCAAAACATGCCAAAATCATGGAGACATAGTCCTATGACGCGACAGATTGTGAAATATCAGAAAAAAATCAAGAAAGTAACATCACTGCGAGACCTAACATATATACATATAAACGTAGTGATATTGCAAGATACTAAGAGAGAAAAAAGGAAAAAGATCACGTTAATCAAAGGTAAGGAAAAGGACAACATAAGAATTTCCATTACACGCAATATATTACTAAAGAAAAATTCCAATATCGAATGCCATTACATCATATAACATTCAATAGCTGCAAACTTTGAATTCGATAACTTCTATGATGACAAAAAAGGATTCTTCATAACATGATGACGTTCTATTTTATGATTTTCTTTTTGCTTGATATATTAAAATTTAAACCATTTTTCAAAATAAAAAAGAAATGCATATTCATTATTATTATTCTAGTCCATTGTTCATTTTAACCACGCCAATATTCTATCTATTCTTTATCGACATAAAGAAATAGTAAACTGTTCCCATTTTTTTAAAGGCCCTTTTACATCTGTTTCATATTATTTTATTCTAGAGCCTATGTATCGATCAGTGTTGTAGAACATAGCAATACAATCACACTCAAGGCCACACATTCATTCTTTGTTAACCTTTAAAAGTCGAATGTTTCTTCCAAGAGATATTGGAGTAATTGCTATTGTAGTTTTACCTCCGTACACGAGTGTCAGACAGTACAGTAGAGTTTTAAAAATCTCATTTTTTACTCTAAAAACTTTGTGTACTCATAATTATGCTTTTTTTGATTGATATCGCGTAGCACAACGTCAAGCTATCTGATGAAACTGTTCGGTAATTTTTGTAAATGGCTTACTGACTGACTCATTTCGATCTTATGAAAAAAATGTTCTTTGAAAAGGACATTCAGTCATAAAGAAATGAAATATTCTATCAATCGACGAATAATGACAGAACTTTTTGACGCATTATATGGGGAAATCCTTGGCTACTTTGAGTTCTTCTAAGGACCATCGCACGATATCACCAGAGAATGAACACATGCCTCCTCAATCGTCGAGAATTTCGTGCTGTCTGTGGCAGAATTACTGATTTCAGTTCAATTCTGAACATGGCGCAATATTCCTGGTTTTACACTCTCACAAAGTATTCAGCATCAACTTTGCCCGTAAGCTGAAACCACTATCGAAATCATGAGATGATCCTTCTATCCTTCATAAGATTGATTTCTTGACATTCGATTGGACTCATGTAGTAGTGTAATAATAAAATGGGAAAAAACAAAAATGTTAAAGATATTGCAAATATTGCATTCAATTGGTTCTCACTATTCTATGAAACAAATAAATAGAAGTATTTGTGAGAAAAAGATGTTCTCACGTAAGTTAAAAATGTGATACATTGATGCTGTTAAGACCGAATGTCCCTTCGATAGCATATTTTATCTTCCGCTAAGAAAAAAAGTTTAGTTTTTTAATTATAATATGACCATACTGAGTGTCTAGAATCTCTATTTTTTGTTATCGTCATTAAAAATCGTGCTAGTCTTTTTTAAGGGTTAAGCATCTTGATCATGTTGAAAAATAAGATTTCATAAATTTCTTCATTCTGCAGCTGTTTTCTTTTTCTACATCGTTCAAATAGGTTTTTTTCATATTCGGTTACAACAAATGTTTATCAAAATGTCACTGGAATTTACAATAGTTTGATTATCTTCTATCGCATTTTATTGATTCAAATTACGTAAAAAGAAATAAAACTATGACATAAAAATGTTATGATGGTTTCTTCGTCATAGCATAAACTACTCATGTCAAACATTGTGTTGATTTAATATTAAGTCAATATAATAACCAAACATTTCAAACAAATGATTTTTTTATTATATGCAAGAATAATAAATTTTAAAATTTTTTATTCAAAGGACAATTTCATGAGTACTACTATCATAGGGTTCATATTCAGATAAATAGCATCGAGGTGAAAAATCATTGGACTTTCGATCGTTTCCTATGGAGGATGTCTCAGAATCAATTGATGCTTCAATAATTGGACGAAAAAATTGATTTGAGGAAATTGATGGTGCATTTGACAGTACATTTGTATTTAATGTTGGTATAGGTTTCTTTCTATTATCTTCATCACGTAATCGAAAATAATTTATGATATTGGTTTCAAGTAATTTTAAACGGTTAGTTGAATTAGATTGATTATTATGATAATTATCTGTTAAACGAAGTAAACCTGTTTTATTATTCTTTTCTAGATCGGTCAATGGAGAAAATTGAAATCTTTCAAGAATTGACCTAGAAATGAAAGAATAATACAATTAATTAATAGAAAATCCTTGATTTACAAATTAATGAAAAAAAATATGTCGAAGGAATATGCTTTCTGTTTTTAGTTCCTTGTAATCTACGAACCAAATTTCATCGGTTTTTCATACTCTTTTTTCAACATCAATTAAATTTTACTAGAAAATACTAAATATAAGCTTTAGCAGAAAAATTCAAATTTTACTTTGTTGTTTTTTTTTTTGATACTTTAGTCTGCAGACATTATCTATTGCTAGAAAAAATTGAACTTATCTTTCTTTTTATATTTTGAGACTGGATAGATGTGTGTTTAGCAGGTGCTTCACAGTGAATATCTAGAAACGTTAAAATTGGTGTTCTGTCTTGTTTGACAGTATATAATATCAGAATTATGGAACACTTTTCTTTTTTGACAATGGATATCATCAACTTTAAAGTCATCATACCAAATACTGAAACACCTGCTAAACAAATACCGACAAGATAATCATATGAATAAATGTCTTCATCCTCATTTTTTAGCATCAAAACTATAAAGGATTTTATTTTATTGCATCATACCATCGTTCATTGTATCTTCGATCACGACGACTACCATGCCAATGATGCCATATATTAACAGGTATATATGATATATTGGTACCGTTACCAGCTATTTGAGCTACTCGTTCTCCCCATGCATTAGCTAAACGCCGATAATCATTATGTATTTCAGATGGAATGGTTTCGTCAATACGATTTATTATTGCAAAAGCAAAATGAATATCGCCTGAACCAAGAATAGAAAACTCTAGAAGACCACCTATATCATCAAAAGTTTTACGACGCATTGCCCATGCATAGCCAGGATGAAAATAACATTCCGATGAACGATGAGAATCAATAGGTCTTCCATGCGTAACTGAATAAACAAATGAATAATCACGGCGTAAGACTTGTTGTTTTCCTGATGGTCCTAAAAAGAAAGACAATTGAAATAGTTGTACGATTGGATAACGTTGTAATTGATCAATAGTTAAATGAGGCCAATCATAACGCTATTATAAATAGATAGAATGACAAGATGACATGCATTTTTTTTATAGAAAAATACAATAATATACGAACTTGAAATTCTATATCAGCATCAAGCCATGCAACAAATTCGATAGATGAAGGTAAACGTTTAATAGCAATATTAATTAAGTTTTCTTTTAACCATAAAATTGAAGGAGCTATGATTTGTAAATGTCGAGACTCATTTGAACGTGTGACTTCAAATTTTTGTTTGGGTAGACCTAATTGTTTCTCGTTGTCAAATATGCATTCAACAGTAAATAAATGAATACCACAACGTGACATATGTTTATCAAATTTATGGTATAAATCGTAACGTGATTTATTTTTAATTGGATTAAATAAAACTGTAATAACAGCAAAACGATTTAAATCGTAGTTCAATTGTCCTAGTCGAGGAGAATTTTGTTTTGATAATTGTGTACCCATTGTCTTTTAATTTCTTTGATTAAATTTACACATATATTTACTCACTCATATGTAACTGATGATGAAATGAGAGTTGACAAATTTGGCATAGAAATGAAAGAGAATGAGAATTCAAAATTCGTCTCTTTACAACGATAATTGCTGGTTTGTTTACAGAAGTTGTCTTTAGTGATTCATTGGTAGTTGCAGAAAAAAAAATGATTAATTTCAGACGATCAAAGAAAAACAATTTACTAGTTATATTTGTTGACCTTGAAAGACTAAAGCAGATGCAAGAAAAGCGAAATTCTATATTAAAAATTTGTTATTGTCGAAAACAAGGTCGTTCTGTTTCATAATTCTTTTTTTTTTGCTTTCTTTTTTGAGAGAAATAATGTATAAGTTTTAAAATGTTCGCTTAGCATTTTTTTCTATTAATGAATTAATATAAGAGTATTTTTCTTTCAAATAAATGATCAAGAGGTTTCTTAACATTGTAAAACGAAAAAATATCTTAAATATTTGTAATCGAGCAAAGAACTGTTGTTGATTATTTGATGTACTGTATATCTTAATTCGTCAGAAAAAGTTAGGCCAAACTCGAAACTGACTTTTTCTTAAATAAGAAAACATCAGAGTTTTAATGTTTTTCTTTTTTTGTTTATACGATGGAGTACAATGTGAAGAAAGCATCAGAGTAGTTCAGTTAAATGTTTGCTCTCGAAGTATGAAATACTATTACATTTCAATTATGATTTATAACCTTATATCAAGTATGACAAGTTAAAGACTCAAATTTTTTGTCATATCGATTTTCATTTTTGAGTTTGACTAATACAAATTATGTTATATGATTACAAGAAGTTTATACGTCAATGCAAGCACATCAGTTCGTCCACTACTACTTCAATGAATGTGTTTCTTACGTTTGAAAGTATTAAAAATAGCTTAAAATTTTTCTAGAGCTTAGTTAGGAGATAGAAAATACAACAGTCAGTAATAAAATTAGGGATCCAACCGTGACAGCGGTGTACCGTACCTCCGGTACGCNTACATACAATGGTTGCTCTTCTAAAATTCATACATTTTTTTTCTATTAACATATGTTAGTGTTAGCATAAAAAATAAAGAACGTCTCTTCTATTTCAAGATCTTCTAACAAGAATAATGAGCCATTTTCTTAATGTATATTTTTTTCGACATTTTTCCCTTTCGACATTTTTCCTTTCGACATTTCTACTGCCAACCGAAGAAAGCATCAGAGTAGTTCAGTTAAATGTTTGCTCTCGAATTATGGAATAGTATTACATTTCAATTATGATTCATAACCTTATATCAAGTATGACAAGTTAAAGACTCAAATTTTTTGTCATATCGATTTTTATTTTTGAGTTTGACTAATACAAATTGTGTTATATGATTACAAGAAGTTTATACTTCAATGCAAGCACATCAATTCATCCACTACTACTTCAATGAATGTGTTTCTTACGTTTGAAAGTATTAAAAATAGCTTAAAATTTTTCTAGAGCTTAGTTAGGAGATAGAAAATACAACAGTCAGTAATAAAATTAGGGATCCAACCGTGACAGCGGTGTACCGTACCTCCGGTACGCCGGTATTACGTACAGTTGTGTACTGGTCTAAAGATGTACGCATAGCGATAGGAGCTTGGTTGGAATTCTCGAGTGTCTGTTTTCTTATTCGAGAAGGGTTTTCTTTTCATGGTTTAGTCATGTTTTATAAAACTTGGCTATTTTCGTGAAATAGCCCTTCCCAGACTAGAGCCCGGTTAGATCAAGAATTTCAGGATACGAACTCAGCCGATCAAATTTTGTTGAATCTGGGCCCAAACATGGCAGTACCTAGGATGAGTTATGATAGTCAAAAAGAGTTTTGTTCTTTTTTCTTTATGCTTTTATAAATAACATAAAGGTTTTTTGAATAAAACGAACACGAATTTTACGAAATTAAAATTATAGTATTATATGCGTCCGAATTTTCTTTGGATCTGGGCCTGATCAATACAAATTTTCAGATTCAGGTCCGCATTGAATCTAGTGGACTCTTTCCAAACCAAAAACGTTGAAATGAATCTAAGATTATCGTAGCTTTACCATGCTTTCACCGTTTTCACTATTATGCTGTATATATATATATGCATGCTTAGATCAATGCAACGCTCTGTCTATCATCGATGCACTGCTATTGGAAGTGGACGATGTATTGGTGATTACTATCATCGTTGCATTCTCAATTGAAATATTTAACAATAAATCTTACATCAACAAAATACTATATCGAATTCGTTTGAATCAAAAGTAAATTTATTAGTTTTCTATTTAGTGTTAATAATAACATGAATATTTTGAAAACAAATCAGACTGTCCTATGAAATCAACTATTTTCAATCTAAAAAATTTAATCAAATGTTATAGTCACAGCAAGTTTTCTTGGTTTAATCGTATCCGTAATATCATATCCTCCAGCATTGAGTTCGGGTCCACCATCACCAAATGTAACGAATTGCATAAGTCTAGCACAAATAACTTTTAATTCAAACCGAGCTAAATCTTGACCCATGCATTGTCTATGTCCACCACCAAATGCCAATAGTGCTGACAGATTGTTTTTGTTTTCTGGATCATTTAAATATCGTTCAGGATGAAATTCATTAAGATCATATAAATCTGCCCAATAACGTTTATCTCTTGCTAAGGCATAAAACGAAATCATAACTGAATCACCTTTTTTTAATTGAGCTCCGGTCTTTGGTAATTGATCATCCATAGTTAACGTTCGAACAGTACCTGCTACTGGTACTACTAAACGTAATATTTCACGTAGAACACAGTCTAAATAAATAAGTGAATCAGTTTGTTCAATTGAAAGACGCTGACCATTGTATTCAGAAAGTTCTTGTTTTATTTTCTTTTGTATCTGTGGATTTTTACTCATAAAATGAATAAACCAAGAAAGTGCTGTTGATGTTGTGCCATAACCAGCTGCAAGAAAGGAAAGCATTTCATGCATGACTTCGGTTCGAGAAAGTCCTTAAATAATTGTAATTGAAAAGATCATTGTTTTTTTTTAATCATTATTAAAGAATCTACCTTTTTTCTCTTCTTCCGGTTTAGCTGCTTCAAGTTTTTCATTTTCTTGTAAAGAAGTAACTAATGACGCAATAAAACATGTTCGTTTACGTTCCATTCTCATGTCTATTGTTGTATTTAATTCATGTTCAATCATCTTTTCTAAATATCGATCAATAATAGTTCGTGCTCGTCGTGCTTTAAAATTTAAAAAGAAAAAGATTCGACCTAAAAATGTTGGTAATTGAAGTAATATTTGCATTGTATTTAATAATGAATATAATGCCTGAGTCAATTCATTTTGACTATTTTCTGAATTATCATCAAGTGTTTCTAAATCATAATCAAAAGCAATAAAACCAAATATCGCTAATAATAATTGTTGTGATTGTTCTATCATGTTCAAATGAATTTTTGTTGGATCATTATAATGAATACGCCACCTATCTAATAATTTATCTGTACAATTAATTATTGTATCTAAATGAATAAGAATTTTTCCACGACGAAATAATGAACTTATTACACTGGCATGTCGTTTGAATTTAGCACCTAGAATTATTTATTTGTAATGAGGAAACTAATTTCGTTTTTTTTTCTAAAGTTATATATTAACCTTTCAAGCAAATAATTCCATTTGGATTGATTAGTTTCATATTTTCAGTAAAAAGATCTCCTTGATCATAAATATGTCGATGAGAAAATATATACTGTGCATCTTCAAGACAATTAATCATAATTAAACGCATGGAGCCAAACCAAAATTGATAGACGTCGCCAAATTTAGCTCTCAGTTGTAGAATAACATCTGGCAAAGATACTGGTTTTCGTGAAAGTATTCCAGTTTGAAGTAAATTACCAAATAAAAATTGTGGTGGAATACCTGGTATTGGGCCATGTAATGTAAAATAGACAGATTTTAAATAAAAATATACAACAGTTAAAAAAAGAAAGATGATAGCTAGCGTTATTGAGAACATGTTTTTGTCTATTAAGTATATTTATTTGGTTTAAGACACAAACATGCGAGGACAAAATTCGTTCTTTTTCTTTTCTCTACACCTGATTGGATTTTGTGAATGCAATCGAAAGTAAACGCGTGTTTTAGTTAGTTTTCAAAAAAAAAGTAATAGTAGCACAGAACTCTATCTATTAGCATTTGGGTTACATTCAGATTGGATTAATGTCTGTCATCCGAGAATATTTTTGTCATTTTTGACAGATGATTGTTTATAATATATTTTAGTTTTTTCCTTTTGTCCTATTATAATTTGTCATCTGACGAAAAAGATGTTGATAACTCTTTAAACATTTCGATTTGTTATCTTAGATAAGAACTGAATAAACAATGTCATTTAAATTACCATATAATTATACTCGTATGCATTTGTTTTCTATAACATGCGTATTATTATCCTTTCTAAGAATCGCATGAGTATTTATTTAACTTGACTAATGGAATCATTTGCCATTTAAGAAGATTTTTCCCTTTCCAACACTTTTGGAGAACAGTTCATCAAAAATGTTGGAAACTTCATGGCCATTAGATCTCAGTGAATAATGCAACATTTTTCATAGATTCAGAACTCATGAATGTGTGTCGGTAGAAAACATGGGACTTATAAGAGCAAAAATTTGTTTGATCATCGCCTTTCCGTTCGCAGCTACAATATGTTTGATATGGTTAAAAATATCTTTACATATACCAGACATTATCTGAATTATCTACTTGTTTTGATTTTCTTTTATCTGCTTCCATTCGAACAAAAACACCAAAGTAGTTAGAGCATCCTCAAAAATACATGTTTTTTCCTGATATTTTATTTGAAGCTTTATATATAAAGCCTGGCAAAAATCAAAGATGCACCGTCTTTAAAAATAAACAAAAAGCATACACTCTTAACATTGTTTATTATAACTAGTAGAAAGCTTCGACTTGATTAGATGCACTTTAATCGAGAAACCAAAGCGATTCTTTACTTTTTTCTCGACAAGTCCATTTTTCAAAAATAGCAAAATAATTTGTAAATTTGTATATTTTTTCAGTAAAAATATTCTATATTTTCCAGTTTTTTGGTTTTTTCATAAACACATATTAATTCTTCGAATATAACTAACACATAGAGTATGCTTCGAGACGTAGATAGTGCAGAAAAAAAAATAAAAAATTTTTCGATTGTGAAAGAGAAGAAAGTTTTCTTAAGTCTACATTTTTACTAAATGTATATAATATTATATATTATTTTTTATACTAAACTATTTAAAAATATTAATAGTATCAATGATAAATTATCTGTGCTAATATTCTATCACAATCTATATTGTATTATTCATGACAAAAAAAATACACTTTTGAATTAGCGATTATCTTTAATACTACATCTAAGCATGCATTATATATTTTCAAATCATTGTAGACTTGATCAAAAGAAACACTACTAAAACAGAAAAAAATTGAAAAAGAAATCAATAACTGCTGCACGGTCCGATCATTATAAAGAAACGTCCAGTGTTTAAAATCAAGCCATAATCAAAATGGCAACAGTATCTTTATATTAACATGCTTACAATCAATACAAAAAATCCAAAAGACGAAATATGAGGATGTTAACATATGTGTAATACTAAGATAATAAACTAGATAGCATTTGAATCCCACTCGATTGTTAAATGTAGTGGGAAACTTCAAAAACTGATACTGTATAACGAATGAATAATTGTTTTTATGATTGATTACGATATAATTTTCGTCGAAAAAGATATTTAAGTATTACTGAAATCACGCTTTTTTTTTGTTTCTGTTGCTGTAAATCGAATAAGTAACGCTTCGATCAGTCTGTTTATTGATGTTTGAAAGAAATCGAAAAGTAGTGATTTACTAAGAAAACTCCATTAATCAATACCAATTTGTTTCTAATAAAGACTATCGGTCGATTGCTTAATTATCTGTCTCATTCATTATTTATCATCATTTGTATTCATAGATGTCTAATATATAAGCAAAGAGAATCGCAGCTAACCTTTGTTGTTGTTTTCGCTTCAATTATCTCGAAGCTTAAAAAGAAACAAAATCTTCAAAAAATTGCCCCTTTTGGTTGGTTCCTGTTAGAAAATGGAACATCCACTTGGAAGACAGAAAACGGATGATATAGAATCAACCATGAAATTTTATGTTCACGTTTGAATGATTATTTTCTGACTTTCTGTCTCAAGATCATCGCTGCGGAAAATTACTAATTTTGATGCATCCGGCGAGAAACTAAAAAACAAATCGCTATGCTTCGCATTGCATTGTTAATAATTACAATCTTCGGATATTCTCTATTATCAATAATTAAATAAATGTAAAAACGTTTGAAAATAGCTCAATTCTAAATCTCTTGATATGTTTAATGAAAACGTTTGATTGCATTTCTTTGTCTCTTGTGGGTTTCTACTTTTGGATTAAAGTTGTCAAAATTTGAATTTGTAACATACAAATCAGTAATGTACTGGTATCTTTATTCTTAACCATACATGCATGTTAATTAATACATCAAATAAAATATGATTGATTGTGCTTTGAAAACTCGACACAATTATGTTCGTGTTTTTCTCTTAACTAAGAAAATTCAAAAGAATTAGCAATTCATTTTGGTTCGATATTGACGATAAAGTCGTAGGGAAAATTTCTAACGAAATTCTGCTTTTCATAGTCAATATATCGATATATTTACATAAGAGTGCATTTTTATGCATTAAATAACTAAACAGAACTTCATTATACAATGACAACACAACTGTTTACAAACATAAACATTTTTTATAGTAATGATTTATTCGATTAACGTCGATTCAACTCAATGAAATTTATCATACTAAATAAAAAGCTAATTAGGAAAAATGATAAAAAAAATGAGAATGATATTTATGCTAATAGACTAGATATATAAGTAATAAAACTAGGTTAATAACAACTATGAAGCTATCGAAATTTATTTCTTATTGATATATTTCATATATAAAATGAAGAACATCGATGAAATGGAAAAATATTAATTCAAATAACTAGCCAATATTTAGTCTAATGACAACACTATGACAGGCTGGGTATTATGAGGCTTATATTACGAATTATAAGATCTGTTTTTGTTCGCTGCCAGACTCCAATTAGTTAAGATGGTATCATCTTTCTATCTTTTTTTTTCTGTCACATACTATAAACTAAACAACAAGAGAATGTTTCTTCTTTTGGATTATATCTCAAAAACAGCAATCTATAAGAAAGTCTAAGACTATTGCACAGTGAGAATTTAAATTCTTTAGTTATCTAGAATAATAATCAGTAAACATTAAAGATAAACAGAGGTAGTTAAGGGTATATTTGATACGTTTTTTTTTCTCTAAGTAAATGCTGTAAAATCGATTATATTTCTTCGTATTTGACTCTGATGACCTACACATGCTTGAAGACACATCCTTCAAGGAGAACACTTATCCTAACTTCAATCATCAGTATTTCTACATTAGTATTGACCGAGAATGATATGTGTCAATTTTGTTTTCTTCGTCTTAGCCTTTGAATCCATTAAGACAAATTTATTTTTTATTCGTTAGTTTCTTAACAATATATTTACTTTTTTCTGATGAAATTGCTCATCATCTCTGATAATATTATATTGGAATAAGAAAATGCTGTCGTGTATTCGTATGTATATGCCAGATTTCTTTGTTCTTCTTTCTCTTATTCTTCTGTGACCTTGATGATCAGTGATTTTCCTTGCATTATTTACAAGCTATGAATATGTTTATTGGAATAAATAACTACACCTAAAAGGTCGTTATAAGAGCGAGAATCTACTATGTGTGTATTCATGTGTTAGTGGACTATTTTTCTTCTTCCTCCATCTCTCGTTTTTTTCGCTGCTCCAATTCAGATAAATTTCCATCAAGTGACAAAGTAAACCATACGCATCCATCATTTTATTGATCGATAACGATGATCATGCGATCTGTCGTCTGTGTAATTCTTCTATTCCTGTGCTTATTCGTTCAAAATTCTTCGACTGCGTATCTTCTTTGTACATCAAAATGTTCTCAAATCACTGTTCCATTTCTCGAACCATTTAATATACCTATCGAATGTCAAGATAATAATAATCTTACCGATATTTATGATTATGGTGCCATTTGTATAATTGATTATCGTATTGATAACGACTCAAACAACATTTATATCAATTTTAAAGCTAATAATGATACCTTTATTTTTGAAGCACATAATCAATCTGAATTTCTTATTCAAACAATGTGGTTAGGTTTTAGTCAAAATTCCGGACAACCAAATATAACTCATCGTAGATATGGATGTAGTACACAAAATGATTGTGCACGTCAATTTTATTTCAATACTATTGGACATTTAATTACCAAAGGTCAATTACAAATAGATAAAATTAAGTCAAAATTATATAGACAATCTTTATCAAAAAAGAAAATTTCACTTCGTCGTTGCAAAAATAGTAATACAACAAGTAACAGATCATCAGTACGGTGTCCAGATGGCTTATGTTATATAAATAATATGAATGGAAAACAGTATTGTACTTCTGATAATACTCCAACATTTTTTAGTGAATTTGAATCATATTTACCAAAACCAATAGCAAATGATATCGAATCAATTGAATATAAATGTAATCGACATTTATGTAATAGCAATGAAATGATTGAAATAATTAAAAATATTCTTCGTCATTATACAAATTGGAATAATATTAATAATGAAGAAGATAAAATAGAAGAAGATAAAATAGAAGAAAATAAAATAGAAAACGATCAAATAGAAGAAAATAAAATTGAAGAAAACCAAACAGAAGCAAATAAAATAGAAGAAAAATCATCAACAGCATGTCAAATTCTATCTAATGTTATAATTATTTTATCTTTAATTAATCTTCGACTTTTATTTTAAAATAAAGACTTTTTTTCATTTATCCCTTTAGATTTTCATAGATATTTTGCCTAAATAAATTATTCTTCTATTTTTAATTTATATTTATTGAATGTAAATTGTATAAATAATTTTATTATTAGTTTCGCATTAAATACATAAATAACGACAAAAATTGATAAATATTATTCTTGATTATCCAATTCGGTATCAATTAATGGAAAAAAGATTGTTTTTTTTTTTACAAGAACAAGTTTCAATCAATTTATTTTCTATGACATTTAGAGGAATCTAAATTATGTATTTGTTTATCGTTTGTTGCATATGACAGTGTGATTACACTGACAAGAAATATTTGTTGTCATAATTATACAATCGATTGATTGCTGTATCATGTGCAAACAGCTGTTTATACCCTTCATATCATCAATAAAATCAGGCACATGTTTTACAACGGAAATAGAGTATTCACCTTATACTTCCAAATATATTACAGAAAGTGTCCTGAAATTTATTGATAGAATATTAGATTGTTATTGAAGAAGAAGAAAAAAAAAAGAGATATGATTAGTATGTCTAGAGAATTGTTTTTCTTTCTCAAGTATATTTATACTATATTGAAAGTAATAGTTTTGAGATAGTAGCTAGAGGTTATTTATCCATATACAATATGTTTGGACATATTTGCAGAAAGTTGCCCCAGTTGTAAACAATCTTTTCTATTAATAAGAGGATGAGATTATTGTAAAAAAATAATTAGAATGCAAACATTTTTATTCATATATATTGTTCTAAACATACAGCATAGTCTCATCTTTTTCATTTTCTTAATATGTAGGTTTTAGGAATTTATTGATATAATACGGATGATTAATACTCTGCATGCTATTTATAATAGATGGAACGAAAATTTTGTATTTTCTTAATGTAATGCAACCGCTTTTAAACAAGATAATCAATGACATATTTTACAAATTAGCAGAGATATATAGTCTTTGTTGATCATACAAGATATGAAAGTTCGTAATATTTTATTTTTATTTTTAAGAAAAGTTAATGTAAATAATACTTATCCGTTCGAAATAAGAGAAATCGCTATAGATTTTCTTCCTTGAAAAATTTCTATGCAAGCATATACTGATGATCAAAATAAATGAAACATATCTTATGGTTACATTCATCATTCATACAAGAAAAGTTAACCTCACTTATATGAATGATGAATTGAAACAGAACACGTATTCTGTTTATTTTGATTAAGCGGATATATTACACAATAGTTACTTCATCTTATTCAAATAAATATTTAGCAATACACATAAATTTATTTGTTAATATGTCATAAGATTGTTCTAGTAAGAAATAGTTTCTATTGGTTATAATACACAATTAATTACATTGAAAACTAGCTGGTTTAAGATGAGCAGCACGAAAAAAGTGACTGCCCGATATACGTCGATCAACAGCAGCATTTTTAGCAACAGTTTTCTGAGAAAAATAACTGAAAAGTGTTTTTGTTGTTGTTGTTGTTGTTTCAACTACTTCAGATTTACGTTTTTTTGATGATATTGTACTTGTTGTATTCTCATTTTCATCATCATCCCTTAAACCAAAGCATAAGAAAATGATTACTTAATATAAAAGAAGAAAAAAAAGATTTTCATACCAAGTTACTTTAATACATTTATTTTCAATAATAGTTGATGCCGTTGACCAACTAAAACGAACGAATTTTGGAAAACCAAATATTTTATCAATAGATTCAGTTAAAAATCGTTTTGTTTGAGGATCTATTTACATTAAATAATCAACAATAAAAAAAACTGAAACGTTTTATTTTTACCATTAGGATAACCAGAACCATATTTAATCGATTGTTTTTCTTCTTCAAATTCATGGAATTTCCAATTTTGAACAATTTGATCACGAACTACTTTAGCACAAATACTGGATGCTGATACAATGGGATAAAGTGAATCAGCTTTTTTTGATACTGTTATAGTAAGTTTTGGGTAACGAGAACGAATTTTATTTGCATATTTATCTGGATCACCAACGGTATCAACAAAAACCTTAGAAAAAACAAATGATTTTTCTAGGACGAAGGTGAATATTTCCTTTTTTTTCCTCTTATTTATACCTGCTTGACATTGACACCTTGATCAAGAACTAATTGTATCAATTCAAGTGCTGCATCTAGAAGACAAACGAAAATATTTAATTAATAAAAGATTTCAATAGGTTTACCATGAGATATATCGTTTAAATTGTATTTATCTCTAAAAAGAAAAGCAGAAAAATAAAAAACTTGAATTGCAATGAATAACGAATACATACCGTCTTAACATACATGTTGAGATCATATGAGGCGAAAGTACTTTAAGTATAAAACCGAGATAATTTTTATGTTCTTCATATTTAGCAAATATTGATGAACGAATTTCTTCTGTTAATTGTTTAGAATCTATTAACATAAATAAGACAATATTACTTTCAAGTTGATTTCTTAAAGCAATTTTGAATGACTCATAATAAACTTTTTTCTTCTTTTTATGACACTTCTCAACACATCGGAGCCTTCATTTAAGGCGTATTCAATAGAGAACTTCCTGCTTTAGCAAACTAATGTCTTTGTTTTTTAAATAAATTTCTTTTTTTTTGTGCAAAATTTAATAGATGAGTATCTACTCAATCATCTAATTGTGATTTCCGACTTTCTGCAGGTATTTAGTTAGCCTTGGCTCATCAGAAGTACTTCTGAAAGTAAAGTATCTGACATCAATGAATAAAAAATTGTGTGCTTTCAGCTTCCGCAACCTTTTGCAAGGTTTCTGTTACTGTTGTTCAGAAGAAAAGACTTTGAACCAACATCTAGTAGTATTTTGAGATGGAATCTGTGAAATCATGTTTTCCAAAGCGAGACTTGATCTATGACACGTCTATCTTCATGCTGTCGAATGTAAAATTTAATTTTGAATAAAAATGGTAGCTTTATTAAATTGAAAAATAGAAACATTAGAAAAAGAACGATAGGGTAATTCTGCCAGTATATTTCTTTTAAAGTACAGGAACAAATATGAAGAGATACACAATTTAATAGAGACGTTTTTAGCATATTTAAAACTTCAGTGAAACCTTTATGAAAAAATTTTCGTCTCTTGATCGTTGCAATTAAATGATTGGCTAGTTGTTTATTTGTTAAACTTTACACGAACAAATAACATCTATTTGGAAAACAAAGACAGTCATTTTGTAGAACAGAGAATTCTCTATCAAATGAGTCTAAGACACAGTTTCTAACGTTTTGGAAAGTATACTAAAAAGAGGAAAACTATTGATTATGCGCCACTCGTTAGATATATTTTTATACATAGAAAAAGTTCAGAAATAATGTTGTTTCATTTGAATTTTTTTCTATTGAAGCCCGTGAGAATAGTCTATTTCTATCAATTTATTAGTCATCTTCTAAGTAATTTAGACTAGAGATAGAAGCCAGTGTATTGAATGATGATGGCTAGAAGCATTTGACAGTTTTTTAAAAAGATTTTCTCACTTCTGAAAAGCGTTGATATGAAAATAGGAAGAACATGCTGATAGAGAACGTAATGATAAGAAGAAACAAGGCAAGAATATCTGTAAAAACTAATTCTGCATATCAAATATTTTCAAAAAAAGATTAGTGCCTATTTTAAGTCTGCCATCGGCTACTGGAATATTCGACAAATATTTATGGAAACAGTGACGATAAAACTCGACCTCTAGAGTATTGATAATGGAGAAACACAGCCTGAGGGCTTACACTACTAATTACGACGAATTGGAAGCCTTTGTAGACACTGAATTTCATACGTTTCAGTGTCTCTATTAGTGATTAATTAACAAAACAAATATAATACTGAAAATATGTAAAAAGATAAGATTTTTTATGTAATTCGAATTTTAATTCAAAAATTACAGTTTGAAAATTTGTCTGTTAGTTCTTTAAATCGAAAAAAAATCAATGAAGAGACTTTTACAAAATAGTATCAAATTACCTGCACAACCGAGATCATTCAAAATTGAAAGGTGATCTTCATCACAAAAAAATGCTGAATAAACCATTGGACCTAATAAGACAAGTAGATAAATATTTATTGAAAAACATTTCCATTCCACTGACCAAGAACAGGGCCTCGACCGGCTTCATCAATACCAAGAAAGAATGACTTATCAGTGTCATTATCATTAGTTGTAGGAGTATACGATGAACGTAATATAATATTCGATAAAGAATCTTTTTCAAATTCTGAAGTGTCCATTATCTAGAAAATAAAAATTTTCGTAAGAAAACTTATAATCTATAGTCATTGTTGCTTGTTATTCCAATTCTAATTTATGTAAAACATTGAAGATCAAATCTGAATTTTTTTTTCAATTAAATAAACACTTATAACTATGTATAAATCGAATATCAATTGAAGAATCTGAATTTTCAAGACAAATTTTAACCAATTAAAATATTGAAAGCGATAGAATAGCTTTTATTCAAGACAAGATATTGATTTATAGCAATGCTGTTTCTGTTTGAGATAATTAATATGACATGAAGTTAACACATCGCATAACTTTGTTTATTAAAACTTTAATAAGCTGTCTGTTAGCTAGTGTAATCAGTTTATAAGTTCTTTGCTCTCATATTGTGTTGTATATCTTGACAGAATTGGTTGACTTTAGTTTTCTGTTTGATGGAACTTTTGATAACTAAAGGATAAATATTAAATGACAGACTAAGCAATAGTAGACGCCTTTTTGTATACAATGACAATAATGTTTTCCTTCTTTACTCAATCTATTTTTATTATATCAGTTGTTTCACTAAATCTTTTGATCGAGCGATAGCAACGAGGTCCAAATAGGAAAAAACCAGAGAAGAACAGGAAAAAAAAGATGGTGCAACGAACCGACATCTCTTTTTTTTGTACTTTTAGGATTCTCACCGGCTCATTTGACATATGTCAAGCGTGATTCTAACATAGAATAGAATTATTCAAGCAATCATTTCGCAAGTCTCTTTTCTAATATAAAATCATGAAATAAGTATTTTCGAAATGTATGTATGAATGATGTATACTTCGGTTAGAACAGAAACAAAAAAAAACAATAGGATAAAGAGTCAAACGTGAAGACCAGATTAAATGATGAACCACTATTCATCTGACACGAATGAGAAAATGATGCATCAAAATACTGAACATAAAAATACGATTGAGGTATAATCAGCAAAAAAGAACGAAATGAATGGTCACATGACAAAAAATAAAAGACTAAAAAATACACAAATACAAGGAAAAGGAAAAGAATATGGTCACATCTCATTTATATACACTTAAACTTAAAATGGAATGATATTCATTAAAGAAATAAAAAATGCGAAAACGTTTATCTTATTGACTTTTTTTTTCTTACAAGACAAACAACAGCAACAAATAAATATAAAGGAAAACATCGACTGGAATAATAAAATTGCAATAATCTATTTAAAGACATGTCTATTGTTCTTTCTAACATTGACATTGATTGCCTTTAGTTTGTTGATCATTAACGGTAAGTCTTGTAGTTCCTTTATTATATGCACCTGGTTGATTACCATAGACAGCATTTCCTTGACCAGTACCACTTGAATCATCACTTGCATCAGACATTTTTTCTAAAATAATATCAACCAATCTAAAAAGAAACACGCACACACAAAAGAAGATTTTATACAATAATTTTTTTTCTTTGAATTTTCCATTACCTTTCAAATACAGATTTAACATTGATATTTTCTTTTGCTGAAGTTTCAAAAAATTCCAAACCTAAACAACAAAAAACAATAATAATAACAATATGTTTGAAAATCTTTCATTTCACATAAATATACGAAAGAAAAAAACTTACCGATTGCATCGGCAAGTTTTTTTCCTTCTTCCAAATGAACAACTCTCTCATTTGCCATATCACATTTATTCCCAATTAATATAACCGGGGTTTTTTCCCATGAATGTGTCTTTATCTGTAGAACCCTTTAAAAACATAACACACATCACAACATATATCAAGCAAGAAAAAACCAAAATAAATAAAATATACAATAACAACAACAATTATATATATATATATATATCATGTACATTCAATAGACAATATTTTACAAATTACCCAATTGATCTGCAAGACGTTTGCCTCGTTCTTGTGTCACAGCTCTATCCTGTTCTAAATCGCATTTATTTCCAGCTAGAACAACTTGTGCATTATCCCATGAATACATTTTTATTTGTGTACACCTGAAAATAATCTCAGTATGGTGTTTTTTTTTTCTACATATAGAGATGTTCACATTAAGTGTTTTTTTATTTATTTATTTATCTAAAACACATTTTATCTGTTTTTCTATCTATTTAACTTACCAATCTTGTACAGCATTAAATGATTCTTCGTTTGTTATATCATACATTAGAATAAAGCCCATTGCACCACGATAATATGCAGCTAAGAGAAGTAAAAAAACGAATACAGTTTTGTTTTTCGTCTAATTAAAATTAAACATTGTCTTTTTTTTACTTGTTATTGTTCGATAACGTTCTTGACCAGCTGTATCCCATATTTGTAATTTAACACGTTTATCATGACGAAATACAGTTTTAACCTTAAAATCAATACCAACTGTACTAACAAAGGCTGATGTAAACGAATCATCGGCGTATCGAAAAAGCTAAAAATAAAATATTTAATTTTATGAAACAAAAAAAAAACATAATTTCAGTTTTAGAAAAAGCAGTAACGTACAAATGATGTTTTTCCTACAGATGAGTTTCCGATAATAAGTAATTTAAACATATAATCAAAATTCTGATCGGCTGCATCTTTCGCTGATCCACCAACATTATTTTGTGTCATCTGAAAAAATCAAATATAAAATATTACATAAAAAATTCAAGGACAATCGATCTAATAATTCAGTTAAACGATGATTGTTAACGACGATGACGTCGCTACTTGTGGAGTGAGTATTTTCCATTCCACTTTTGTTTCTGTAAAATCTGATTGGATGCGGTTTAGATTTGATGATTTTTAAGGTATTAATGCATTTTCCAGAAATTAACTTTATTTTTGAATATCAATGTAATAGAGGTTCGGAAATGTTATCCTACTAAAATTATAAGAAAGTCAATTATGGCAACTGAAAATAAAGATAAATAATTACAATATTACTTATTAATCAACGAATAAAAATCACTATTATCTTACTTTTTTAAAATAAATGAGAAAACAAACATAAATGATGCATATATTTTATCTATTTAGGAAAGAAATAAGTTATCGTAGGCGAGAGAGACAAGTAACAAAAATAACATATTGAGAGGAGGAAAAAGAGGAGGAGGCAAAGTAATTTATGAAGTTGAGGGCACAGCTGGTGTCAATACATGTTTGTATCATTGATGATGATGTCCCCAGCAATATTTTATCGATTTTTTCAGCGCAAAAAAACATTCCGTTTCATTGATTCGATAAAGCATCTGATTTTCCTGGTTGACAGAAAAGTTTATTCATTAGAGCTGGTGAAATAATTAGAGTCTTAAATAATAATAAAAAATGCCACATATGTATAAAACATTACCTATTAATAGATCATCAATCATAAATGATGAAAATAATAATGAGATTCTTGCTTTTTTCAATTTTATTTATTATTCATTCAAAAATTCTATAGAGACAAAAGTAAAATTATATATATAAAAACAGCAGACAATAATGATTAAGAACACAGCACCAAATATTTATATATACAAATTAAAAATCAAACCTCATGGAGGTTAAAACATTTATAATTCTGTTGTAAGTGGATGATAAGATTGAGAATGATTTGATGGAAATGTCATTAATGACGATGAACTACGAGGATTAAATTGTGTTGAAGGTAATGTTGAATGTGTTGCTTGAACTATTGTTGATGATGCATTACGAACACTTGATTGACTTAATGTTCGTGTTACTATAACAGGAGCTAAGGAACCTATTGATAAAGCTAATTTCAAATAAGGTATCAATTAAAATAAAACTACATATTTATAACATTCAAAAAAGAAACCAATGTTAATAGAGAAGCAACAATGACTGTTCTCACTGGTCGTCTTAGTTGGAGTGCTGCGCTGGTCAAAAGATCTACATATAGAATAACAGTGAATACATGACAAAACTACAATGATCATAGACTTATTTTGACTTCTTCGGTCAGAGGAATTTCATTTCAAGAAATTAGCTGAACTTTATAAAAAAAAAAACAAGTAAAGCGTGAGAATTAACCTTTCTCGAACAAGAAAATTGAACTCAAGAATTTCAACAAACCTGCTCTAGGTTTTCGATTCCTGAACCTTGAAAACCTTTAGTCTATTTTTATAAAAACTTAGCTATTTTCTTACAGTGGCCTGCTCGATCAAAAACTCAAAATAAATTCTAAACCATCATGATTTTATCATGCGTTTATCGTTAGTCTATACGTACAAAATCTAAACCAGCGCACAGCTATAAGTAAGATTGATGCAACAAAATATCGGGAGGTATGATGCATCGTTGCATCCTTATATATTAATTTTTCAAATTTTATTAAAATAAATACAATCATAACTTACTTTGATTATTAATGTTGATATTATTATTTGATATCATGTCGTTGTGAAATAAAGTCTCCTAAATGATAAAATAATATCTCTTTATATTTATTTATTTATTTTTTCATGTTAACATTTCAAACCATGCATTTTCGTTCTTTAGATATACGTTTTTTTTTCATTCATTTCATGCTAAATCTTACTCACGTTGTTCATTCTCATTCAAAATAAATCTATTAGTAGCGTCGAAATAATCTTTACATGAAGCTATATTTATTTTTCCTCTATTTGAAAAGTTTTTTGATGATATTCCATCAATAACAAGATATGATAAATTATCATAATTAGCGCAACGTTGTTCAAATTGTTCTTCTTGATTTGATAAATTTAAACTTCGATGATGAAAATCAAATTTTGAATAAATTGAATTTGATTCATTTAATGGATTAAGACAATAATTTAAAATATTATCATATAATGCACGATTATCATCGTACGATGTTAATTCAGATATAGGTAAAGACAATAGAGGAAATTTATTAAATAAAGATATTTTATTATGACTGCTACTATTAGTTTTATTCAATTCCAAATTACCCGAAGATGTTTGCTCCTTTTTTTTTTTGTATTAAATGAATTGAGAAAATAAAAACTAGAAACAATTTTATTGAAAACTAAAAAATATTTACTTTAACTACATAAGGTGTTGATTGACTATTTGCTAATGTATATCGATTGGACGTGCTGTTGATTTTGTCAATACGTAATGAGTTTCTTTGATGAAATCTATAATAAGTTGAATTAAGAAAAAAATATGATTAATTTTTTACCCATTAGCTAAAGATGTTGAAATTTTTTGTGGTGATCTTTGAATTAAAAATGCTTGATCATTATCAATATGTTGATTATTCGAAGTAAATTCACTTGATAAATCTGTATAAAATTTCTTTTTAAGCAAGTCATTGAGTGTTTTAAAACATATATTGACAAACCTTTTGTTGTGTTGACATTATTATTATTGATTGAACAGGAATTTACCGGATTGGATTGTTTGATAAGAATTAATGGTGGTGTTGTTGTTTTATCATCAGATTTTATTTGTCGAGGAGGAATTGGCGGTACAGGAGGAAGATTTGTTAAATTAATATTTTGTTCAGTTTCTATAAATAAAGATAAATTTTTCAGTGAGACGATATTTCGTGAAATAAACGATGAAAATGATCACTAGGGCAAAATCTTATTTTAGAAGATGTCATAATGCTAAACATTTCTAATTGACTAGATTTAGTATGATGAACTTGAACTGGAAAAATTTTTAGCTTAATTACCATTGATAATTTAGAATTTAACTTAAGTAAAACTGAGTGCTTTTTTCAGATTTTCTTTTCCAAAGGAATGATTTATGATTCCAGAAAGGTAAACAAGTATTTTTTTTGTAAGCGCAGACACATGGTGGTACATTTGCCACGAACTTCGAGAGTGGCAGTTCAATCTTCGTAGGAGTATCGTTCATATGCTGGATAAAACACTACTAGAACTCTAGGAGAATATATTTGAAACTCAAACTCTACTATAAAAATGATCAACTTAGGGAAATCTTTGATTTTTAATGGAAAAAATTTGAGAAGCTGATGGAGTATTGTATTTTAGAAACTTTTATTTCTCTAAAGACAAGTTTAAAATAAATCGTATAGAGAAATTCATAAAGTAGAAGTTTCAACGAGAAGAATTTCTTACTTCTCTCCTTAGTTTCAATATGAAATATGCAATAATTTTATTTTATAGGTTTTTTTCCGTACTATTATATGATGAAAATAATAAGTTTAAATCATAACAGTTTAAGAACTAAAGAAAATGTGTTTAGTTAAAAATTTGTAAAACTAGATCAGATTCATCTTATATCTTAATATGTCAGTTTTTATTCGTAGACTCGTAATCGATAATAATGCCTTTGTTATTAGTGAAGGAATTATTTTAACAGTATTTTTTTCCTACATATTAATCTATGTAGCCTATTAGTAGAGCACAAGTGGTATTGATAATATCATTCTCTGTGATTTAAATACATAGTAATATTAATATCGACGTCATATTTATTTTCCTTGATACTTAATCATTCTGTCTGCTCAGCATGAAATAATCCTGTTTATTTTTCTCTTTTATTTGATATCAAAATGTATTATATACAGTATAATTAAAAAGTTTTGGACGTTCTCAAGAAAAAAGCTTTTCTTCTGATGTTCTTACAAATCTCACACAAAGAAGTTTGGAATCTCATCTCTGGCGTTTAGATCAAGATAATCTTAAATTTGCACATCTTTTCTCTTCCTAATACGGATGATAAAAGATACCAAGGCATCCAAATGAAGATATGCTAAAAGAGTTTCGTTGAATTATGTCATAAGTTGAACAAGATATTGATAGAATAGTGTTCAGTTATGATTGTTTGAATAAAAACCGATGGGCATGGATTCTAATTAATAAATATCTATCGCAAAACTACAAGCTAATTAAAGTACAGGTTTATGTAGTATATTATTTACAAATGTACGGAAACTTGTTTTATGCAATACTGAGATAATTACAATGCCTAGTTAATAAGCAAGGGTATTCAATCTACATGAGACGACTATAATGACATGAAAAGGAAGCATCTGTAAAGGATGCTCGATAAAATGACTGAAGGCAGAGAAGTCAAGATTAGACAGCTTAGACCAGTTGTTTCGAATTCTTGCAAAGTTTGATATTAGAAGAGCTTTAATAGCTTTGTTAAAGTATACCATACTGTTTCATTTATGAATAAATGAAGTGAATCAATGATAAAACATGCTGCCAACGACAAAATGCTTGCAAATTGTATTTTTGATGAATACTTCCAGTAGTAGCCACCGAAAAAAAATAGAAGATTCTCAGAAGACTTTTTCATCTGTACAACTTTGTAAAGCTTATTATGTTGATCATTTTGATAAAAGAAAATATTCAAATTTACGCAATAAATCATGGTGCTAGAATCGAACTACTCGAAAATGTCAACTACCGCTCACGTCAGCAGCAATCAGAAATTGTCGAAATAGTCAAATGTATTGGTTCTAGTACGATGAATTATTGAGTAAATTTGAATATTTTCTTTATATCAAGATGATCAGCACAACGAGCTCTCAAAAATTCTACAGACGAAAAAATCTTCAGAGAACCTTGTGCTTTTTACAGTTGACTAACCATGAAAGTATCCATCAAACATATGATTCGTAAGCATTTTATCGTGGTTAGATATGTCTTGTATTTTTACCTGATGTAAACTTACTACGAAGAGTTCAATACTCTGTAATTTCGAAAAAAAGTTGTCACAACAGATAGAATCCTAAACAATCCGACGAATCATTTTTTGCAAGTTCCAACTATTCAAAAGCTTCGAAATCTAGTAAAAATGTTTCTATTAAAATCTAACAAGATCTGATTGGATTTATTAGGATTTGATAGCAGTCAGTAGAAATATGTTTCATCTGAGTACGTATTTCATGTCGTCTTTTCGTTGATGAACTTTGGTTCAATAAGAAAAAAGACAAGATCGTTAAACAACTGAGTTGTTTATCAAAAAATTTTAACATCGGATGTATCAGAAAAGCGAAAAAGGTCAAAAAATATCGATTTTCGACCTGATGGCCTTTATGGATGCTCTCAAATATATAACATTCCATTGTTTGTGATTATATTTCAAGTGAAAATTAATTAATGTGGAAATTATTTAATAATAAAAAATGTTGGTTTTTCTCTTTAGGGACATCGAGAACAACGAATCTTCTCTTTAATATGAATTGTATACATTCCTTATGAGTAAGATTAGAGATGTGAAAATTCTGATTATTATTTATTTAGTTGAAAGCGATTACGTGTGAGTATTTTGAAATTATTTTATAAAAGTGAAAGAACATTTTTTTCCTGACAGGACTGGAAATTTTTTAAAAATTGTATATTACATAGAAAAATAACTATAGTGATTGATAAACAAGAATGAAATAACTGATTTAAGGACTTCATCAGAATTGTGTAGAGGAAGACTAGGTTTGCGAGCAGAAAAATTGATTTAGTACATTTCGAAACAATGAAATATTTTGATTTACTCTTTATATTATAATTTCTATTCTTTACTAAATAAGTAAAAGTTTTTTTCATCTTTACCCTCCAATAATAATTCATTCGAAGATCCTTGAATAAGATTATCAAGACGTTGAGTAGCTGATAAACTTAAATTTTTTTGTGATGATGAACGTTTGCAAAACAATGTTACATTATGATTTGATGCGAATGAATTTGTTTGAGGTTTTAATCTATTTAAAAAAAAAATACTAAGAAAAACAAAACTAAACAATTATAATGAAAACTTACTCTATTGATTTTTTATTTTCATCTAATTTTGCTTCTTGCTGAAATTTTAATTTTCTTAATCGTTCATCTTCTTGTTCACGTAGAATTTCTTGTTCTTGAATTTTTTTTCTTATTGCATATGATGCTCGACGTGAAAAACGATGAGATGCTTTCCGTTCAAAATTCATATTCCGACTTGTTAAAGTTCTTAATGCTGCTGTTTGACATTCGGTTCGACCACTTTTGAAATGAAAACAAAGAAAGAAACATTCTGGTCTTCTTTTTTTGTTATTCATTTTATTTTATTTTTTACCTAAATTGAAATCTTGATCCAGTACGTGTAAAATTTGATTTTGAATTTAGTTTAATTTTATTTGCTGATGTTGTACGAAAAAAAATATGATATTCTAAAGCACATTTCCAAAAATGTTTGCATTGTTTTTCATCGTAACAACGGAATAAAAAAACAAAATCACGTTGTAAACGTGGATCATTATCGTCATCTTCAACAACGACGATTGTTAATTTATTACGATTAAAATCAATACGTGTTACTTTTGACCTTAAAAATAAAAAAACAAAAAAATTCGTTGTTATACTTGTCTTTTTGAAAAGATATTTTGTAGAACTCACATAATGCTTTTCGAAGAAAAATATAGTGAGTGTAAGGTTCAAGTCGAAGCTTTGACAGCTCTTCTCTCATAGCAATAGAGAAGAAAGGCACAATGGACAATTTCTAGAGAGCACGTGGACATGATATATTTTCTATCAAATACACGTTTTTTAATAGAAATATCCAGTACCACTACTCGAGAAGAAGATTGATGGAGAAAAAGTAAAATTTGTAAGAGTTTATATGTAAAATACATGAGACCCCGTACTCTAAACTTTTGTCGGAAAAATTTTTATTTGAATGATTAACGAATGATACATTATCCAATGCAGGTTCGTGCTGATTCCAAACATGTCCTTATTTTTCTCTTAAGGTACTTATAAGACAAAAAAAATGTGGAGAAACTTAAAAAAACAAGGTTCTTTTAGAAAATATGTACCTGAGCCCAGAAGCATTTATCCTAACTAGTAGACATGTCAGAAAGAGAAAACCATTCCGTGAAAGTTTCATCAAGTTTGAAGGTGTATAAAAGTGTGTGTATCGGCTACAGTGAACACGACTTTTTCGAAAACTCATAATTGAGAAAGTATGCTTGCTTGGTTCAATAGAAAAATCATTAGTACAAAATTTTTCACATAGAACGAGAGAGTAAAAGAGCAAGAGTTCTACTATGAATTTGCCTGATTTATTCAGTAGATCTTTCTATTTTCTTTGGAAAAGGTACTTTCTTCTGAAGTGACACAATCTTGGCCATTTTTTCTGGTCTAGGATTTTCGCAGACTATTAAAGAGCAAGAATAATTTTTTTAAATGAAAAGGTGGGCATTGACCATAGTATATTGAATATTGTTTAAATCACAAAGGAATATCACTCTCATCTTTTCACTACATGTCCACATTATTGTCCATTGTGAAGAGAGCACGAAAGACCAACCATCACTGGATATGTCTTTATTGTCGCCGAATATAAGAATCATTAGGCCTCTAACCCAGAACTCTTTCGAAACGAAAAAAAAACGTTGAAAGACATTAACAACAAGACTTAGACTGTTAGAGACCATTCCAAAGTCTTCCTCAAAATTTGAATGGGATTAATACGCTTGCGAGTGTTTTAAATAGTGCAGTTTTTTTTAATTATTGCACAGATAAAAATTTATATTCAAGATATGAAGGATGACAGGTAGTGATGCATAGAATAGCCATAGTCATCATTTGATCAATATAAAAAGTGCGAACTGATGAAATTACAAAATTTGAGATATAATAAATATGTGTTTCTGAACTACTCCAGCCAATTATTTTCATATAAATCTTGAGTGAGTACTAGTATTAATCTTTCAAATGACATACTATTGGATAATATTTTTTTTTCTGATAATAAAACTATAAACATGAGAATGTAAGGATATATTTTTCACAACCTATCAATATGATGTTTTTAATAAGGTGCTTGATAATTCTACATAAAAATAGCTTAGTCGAAGTCAATAATTATTTATCTTATTCAATTATGTGCCGCTTGAGTTCATAACGAGTTCACAAAGATGTCTCAATAAGATTAGAAAAGTTCTAACAGAGTTCGTGTTCATGGGCCTCTGAAACTGAGTTATAACCGTTTTACACAATTATTGATCCAGCTTTAAATATTTACCGAACAAACAAATAAAAGAATTTCAACCTCAAATTTTGCTCATAGATAAATCTGATTACTATTGGAATATCCTGAAAGTTTCAGCCGGAAAAATATTCCTTTGTTGAGATGTGGAATTTTCAAGTAAATTTGCTTTCTTTATGACGTATCTCTGGCAAACAACCAGTTTTGGAAATTCCATATCTCAACAAAGGAATATTCTTCTCGGTTGAAACTTTCAGAATCATTCCAAAGTCATCCGACCTATCTATGAACCAACTTTCAGATCGAAATTGGATTATATAATTTTTCGGTAAATACTTAAAGTCGGATCGATAATTGAGTAAAATGATNCGAAATTGATAATTTAATTGAGTAAATTGTGGTACACAATCATTTTCATCGTTAATATTAACTATTAAATGACGTTGACTACTCAATGATGGATCACCGTAATCTCCTTAAATAAAAATTAGAAAGATTTGTATGCATCTTTTGTTTTTTTTCTGCATTTTTCTATTCGACTTACTTGCTTCAAGAATAATAACAAATTCCTTTTCATCACCAATACTGCAAATAAATGCAACAGATGATGATTGCTACGATAAAGCAATTCTTTATTCAATTCTGAACAATGATATTCCCAATGATATATTTCCATTTGAAATAGATAAATTTACTGGTTTAATGCGAGTCAAACACCCACTTGATTATGAAACAATTTCAACATATCGTTTTCGTGTTAAAGCATCAAATCTTCATGAAATAACATCTAGTATGGTACCGATTATCATAGATGTTTTAGATATAAATGATAATCAACCATCAATACAAGTTAATATTCTTAATGAATATAAATCAAATGAAAATAATGATAATTTTATGATTAATATCAATGAAAATATTCGTTTAGGACAAGTTATTGGTACTATTCTAATACGTGATATGGATTCAACAATGATTAATCATCATTTATCATTAAAAATTCTTTCATGTTTGCCTTTAACAATATCTTGCCCAATTGAATTAGATTCTGAAATGGAGAATAATACACTTAGTTCAGCAACGTATATAATACGAACATCAAGATTATTGGATAGTGAACTAGGTGATGAGAAATTTATTATTATTCTTGAAGCAAGTAAGTCGAATAGAAAAATGCAGAAAAAAATAAAAGATGCATACAAATTTTTCTAATTTTTATTTAAGGAGATTACGGTGATCCATCATTGAGTAGTCAACGTCATTTAATAGTTAATATTAACGATGAAAATGATTGTGTACCACAATTTACTCAATTAAATTATCAATTTCGATTATCTAATTCATCTCCAATAGGATTTTTTATTGGTCAAGTTCAAGCTAATGATGATGATTATTCACAAAATTTTCATCTTATTCAATACAAATTTTTAGAAAATGATTGTCAGGATGTTATTAGTATTGATGTGAATAATGGAAGTCTGTTTTTAGCTAAACAACTATCAACTGAAATGAAACTCAATATAACCGTAAGAGCTATTGATATACATAATCATTCATTGTATGATCAAGCAAATATTGAAATCTTACTGTTTGATGAAACAACATGTTTACCAGTGTTTCCTCAAACAATCTATGTATTTAATACAACTGAACATCAAATAGTTCCTTATGAAATTGGTAAAGTTAGAGAAATTTTTTTTTGTTTGGGATTTTATCTTGTATTAAGAAAGAAACTAAACGGATTTTAGAAAACATTATTATGGAGAACAGAGTGATAGGAATTTTTGCTTGTTACGCCAAGACCTTTGGTAAAAATGTACAAACCTACACCACATATCGGACGGATGCTGCAGAATAAAGAGTAGAAAACTTTCTAAATATGGAAAAAGTAATTTTTCGAAAACGTTAAATTTAATATTTTCCATGGAGTTCGTCAGTTCCCAATGTTTAGGATCTAGATCTATATTTGATGCCACTCTTATAAATTTTCTTTGTCAAGTCGGACTTCCGTTTTCGATGAGTAATTTATCAGTAAAATACTTTCCAAGCCACTCTGAGTGCCGTTTTACGTGATACTTATACCAATCGATAGAGCTTGATATTCTAAAATATCAAGAAGATAAAATGCAAAAGACTTTTTAGAGTGACCCACTCTTAATCAAAAGCTCAAACAAATATATTTGTTCGAAAAAATGACATTAGATGAAGTTGTGATAAATATCTGGTGGATCTAGTCAGTTCAAAATATGTAGCAGAGCTACATTTGACTTCATTTTTCAAACATTTATTTTTTGAGCTTTTGATTCAGAGTGGACCAGAGCCTATATTATCAACACCCATTTTCAATAAAGTTTATTCGGTTTGGATTTATTATGAGTTCGACAAGCTCCATTATAGTATTTAGAATGATGTTCAGACGTAAATAATGTAATAATAACGAGTTTTGTCCTTTTTTTGTATCTTTTTTAAATCAACTAACCTTTTGTTTTTGACTCAAACATATATAAATAAGCAAAACTCAATTCAGTATATTATGTGTATTGAATATTGCTTTTGATCCGAAGCTATCTAATAAAAAATTTTCGAACTGAGCAGGCTCTAATACTTATTAGAATACGAAAATCTAGGATATTTTCTTTATTCAATAATATGAATTCATTTAATATAAATTTTGATCTTTAGTTAAAAGTACAATTAATTTGTTTTTCTCTATTTTAAAATAAAGGTCAAGTCAATGTTGATAATTGTCTCTTATCATCAATACCAATTTCTTATCATCTTATTAAAGAAGACTCATTACCATTTCCGTTTATCGTTGATATTCATACTGGTATAATAAAAGTTATTCGTGAACTAGATCGAGAAATAAAATCATTTTATAAATTTCACATTAGTTCATTTCATTCAAAAACGCAACAACTAACTCAAACAGAAATACAAATAAATATTGTTGATGAAAATGATCATTATCCTATATTTGATAATTTACATGAAGAATATGTTTATATATCAACACATCATCATCGAACTAAAAAAATATTTATTGCTCACATTCATGCAACAGATGCTGATGTAGGCTTAAATGGTTTTATTAATTATTATTTTACAAATAAGGATCATTATACATATTTTCATTTATATCCCAATGGTTCTATAATTTTATATAATCTAAATAATGTTCATTTACCAATTCGTCTTGAAATCTATGCACGTGATCAAGGTTATCCAAGACCGTTAAATTCGAAAGAAAGCATTGTTATTTATGTATGTGATATACTTAAACGACATGAATGTTCAATCAATGAATCACCAAATAAATTACGAAAAAATTTTTATCTTGGTTCAATATTTATAATGATATCTGTTGTTTTAACATTATTTATTATAATCATATGTATTATTTGGAATTTATTTATTAAGAAACAATTTAGAGGAAAAGAAAATAATAAACCATATAGTTATCAAATTGAAGCAAGAAAAAATTTGAGTAATAATATTTAAAATGATATTTACTTTGTTATTTCTATGTTAAAATTTTTTAGTCATTTCTGATAGTCTTTATGATTTATCACCAGAAATTCATGAAAATCGTCGTTTGAAATGTGTTGTTGTATGACAATTGATCGTTGATTATATCCGGTGGTTTTTTTTATGCAAATGTAATATGTGGTGAAAGAACATGAAAATTGATGGTGTTCTGTGTACACTCTTATTCAAACAGTGTGTTGTGTGTTTAGTTTTGTTTCTTTTTTGTTATTTCGTAGTGAAGCGTTTTTACAGGAATTTTAAATTGATTGGAAATCAAGCCATTGTAGTTTATCCGAATTGATCATTCAAATCAGTTTTTTCATGCAGTTTAACACTTATAATTTAGATAGCGACTAAGAATAGTTAATTTTGTCTGGGTAAAAACGTATGACAGACATCTGCAATACTTACTAGTTTACAGATTTTGAATAAGATTAAGGTAGAAGCTTTTCTTATTTCAGTGTAGAATGGAAGACCAATAATGGACATTTTCTTATAACGAAGAAGCATCCTAACTATTGACTAACATGAGAATTTATGATTAAAATAAGTTTCAAATGTTACGAGACTTTCGGTTTATTCTTATATCAGGTTTTATCGTTATGTATACTCCTGGTGTTAATCGATTCGATTTCTTTCCCTGTATCTCAGTAAAAGAAATGAATCATTCTTTGAGTTTGATACAGTCAAATATCCAAAGCTTATTTATGTTTAAATATTAACAAGTAGCGTCTATCTAACGATAGACCGAATTCCTTTTTTGAAATTCTCTGAAGTTTGGATTAATTGAACAAGACTGTAGCCGTCAGATGAACATACGAAACTCCCCCTGTTCATATAGAAACGTAATAACTCTTCTTGCATCAAAGTCTCACGAACTTTAGATAGATATATTGCACAAATGTCTATAATCGTCTACAACATATAGTCAAAGTTTTCGCTCAATTATTTTTGTTGTTAGAACAAGGAGTGGGCGTGAGTGTGAATGAGAGTAGGTGTGGGTGCATCTTACATCCAGTCATACCTACATCCACTAGACTTGGACAAAGTAGGTTTTTTATTAAATTAAGATTGTACCAAAATCTGCAAATTATTATTTTCGGATCGGATTTGTATCGAGATTGACTCCAATGAATCAGGAACCGTAAGCCGTTTTATGAAAAACAAAATTTTTCTTTATCTTTTAGCAAAGGACAAATTAAGCGTTCAAAAATTGACTTAAGCAGTATTTAAAGAAAACTATTTCTTCTTAAGAAATGATACGTTTCATCGAAAGAATACATATAGGATATCCAAACAGCCATTTGCCAAAAAGAAACTTGTATATTTCTATTATGGTTCTATTGAATAAATTAGTTTGTGTAGTCGTGGTAGAAGATACTTCCAGGTTTCTATTTATAAGAATTATTGTATGAGTATCTGTTCGACATTTTAAAGAAACCAGAGGTATTGATTTCAAGTCTCGTGTTCGTAAAAACCTGAAACCCGTGTCGTTTTACTCGATTTAGTTTACATGAAAGTTTTTGATAAAGGACACGCAAATTGTTTTGAAGACACATATCACTCATTCTTGGTTTTTCAGACGTGCTAAAGACATATTCACAAAGGAAAATTGTCATGGAAAATTGAACGCTCCCAATAACGAAACAAGGTTAAAGATGCACGAGAGCAATCTTACATACTACTTTTTGCCATTCGAAAAAAAGATTTTTAGAGTGCTGCTTTATAGAAATATTTGAGAACTTTGTGCTTACGAATAAAAATTTGGAAGTACCCTCTACCACGAGTATATAAACTAATCCATTCAATAGAACCATAATGGAAATATACAAGTTTCTTTTTGGTAAATAGCTGTTTGGATATACTATATGTATTCTTTCGATGAAACGTATCATTTCTTGAGAAGAAATAGTTTTTTTAAAACGCTGCTTAAGACAATTTTTGAACGATTAATTTAGTCTTTTGTTAGAAGATAAAGAAAAATTTTCCTTTTCATAAAATTGCTCACAATTCCAATATTTTTGTAACTTGAGCTTGAAACTGGATCGAAACTGGATTTACTTCCTTTGAGAATAGTATCGGAATCGGCAAATACGTTTTCTTCAGATCGGAAACGGAATGAGAATCACCGATTCTGATCCTGAATTGTCCATCCCTAATACTCACATTCTCTTTGTAGGAATTCATCTGAGTTTCTAGACAAAAAAGCTACTGGTGATAAAGAAATCTATGTGGTGGACTCGAAAGGTACAGCTGGTATCTTGTAAGTGGAAGGATTCGAAAAAGGTACTCTAATTGCTTTGCTGTTGGTCACACTCTGAAATTATTTATAGGTGGTGTGAAAAAATTCGTTTCTAAACCATCATCGATTATTGATTACAATCGAAATATGGGAGGAGTGGATCTAAGCGATAGATCGCTTCATCACGCACGTATGGATAAAAAGTCATATCGGTGGTTTCTGAAACTGGGCATCCATTTTATCGGTCGACTTCTCTTCAATGCTTTTGTCATGTATCGAATGTATGATTCCAAAGCTCGGTTTTCGAAATTTCTAATGTGGTAAGAAAATTTTCGAGTTCCATTGCTTATCTTTTTGATAGTTTCGTTCGAGATACTATGGAATCAACAGGAATCGCTAGAAAATCCTTGAATGAATTTACACCACCTCAAAAACGTATTGCATCTGTACCATATAGTAATATACCTCAAAAACTTTTGAAAGTTCAACATTTTTCAAGTAAGTTTGAAGTACGTTTCTAATGAATCTGTGTTCTTATTTTTGAATTTAGGCAAAACAGATTATAATGAAAATCGGCAGGGTCATGTTCAAAAACGCTGTGTATTATGTCGTTCGAAACAAGTTCGAAAACAAACTATCTATTTTTGTCGGACATGTCCTGATACACCTGATTTGTGTTATCCAGACTGTTTTGATGCATTTTATAGTAAAATATAGTATAAACTATAACATGATCTAAAAAANTTGTTTCTTCATAAGAAAATTGTTTTTGAAGATTGTGGCATCCTGCCAGTATTTTGGGGTTTTCTCCGTAAAAACTTTATCAAAAACGAAAACTAAGGACACACTCGTGATCAGCGTGAAAAACTGAATCGAGAAATGTATGCTTAAGCTAAAACAAAAAAGTGCTGTAATTTTGAATTACCCGCACCTTAGACTTAGACACTAAAAATACAAACATCGAAAGCTTCAGTATATGATAACGATCTGAGCAATTTTTTTTTGTTCCAGTAATCTTCCAAATCTTCTAAAGGGATTTTCTTTTCTTGGAATTCTCAAGAATGTCTCGATGAAATAAACAAACATTTTCACGATAGATAGATCTCGATGAGTAGAGAAAAATATTTTCATCAATTCTAAATCGTCAAATACTTCCGTTCCATAAATATAGCAGCCTCAAGAGGGTATGAGGTTGGTGTGAGTGTGAATGTTATACCTTTCTTAGTACATACTGCACATCCACATCCACACCCACACCGACGCCCTCTGTGTTCACAAGTTTATTTTAAGAAAAAGGCAAAACAACGTAAAATTTTGTTTTTCTTTTTGGCTTATTCTGGACCATTACAGTTTACCCATTACGACACATCGAATATCTCTCTACAAAAAATCCGTTTCCTAGAAAATCCAAACCAGTTCGGAAACCCACTCACAAACCAAAAAAAGTTTCCGAGAGGGCTTTCGAGAACTTGAAGCGTTTTTAAAAATACCTTTTGGGTTTCCGAGCCCTGTGAAACCGTCGAGTTTTCTAAAATACTGATTTTGACGCCATCAAGGTATTCTACAGTACCCTTTTCTTGATGTCGGGAACCTAACCGCATTCTCAGAAACTGTTACGGTATCATACAAAACTAATTTAGCCAGAAAAACTGAGTTGATATCCCAATGGGCATGCGAGAATACCTTTCCAGTTTCCGAAGTCTTTCATCGCAAACCTTTTAGGTTCTCGACCATACTGAGTGTCGAAAAAGTATACTGAAGAACCAAAATCGTTTTCCGAGATTTTCTAATTTGTGGAAGGTTTTCGATTTTTTTTGATATATGAAATGTTTCAACACTTTTAAAAATCTTCAAAATGTTCCACAAAAAGGCTCTGATTGGAGTTCAAAATGTCTTAAAAGAACATTTCAAGTGTTCACATTTGCGTTTCTCATCTTTACTTCCGCCCATTATAGACATTTTTACTTCAACACAAATTGCTTCTATTTTATAACTTCCTCGATCATGGATCGCTATTTTAATCTTCACTTCTTCGAAATCTAAATCCATGATATGCTTTTGAAAAAATATTACATTGTCTTTAAATTATTGAATTTGTGAGAATTTCCAATTCTTGAGGAAGCATAATACGTTAAATTTTGGAAATCAATAATTATTATTACAGAAAAACTCATGTTCTTCATACTATGTCCCACTCAATTTCCACAAAAACGACCACTCAATCAACCCATAATTGCTTCTACGAGTTACTCCAGAGTTTGACTTAAAAAATTTTGGTTTTAAATCATCACAATCAATGTTTTATTCCGAGAGAAAAGACTAAAGGTTATGGAATCAGACATAAAACTGCTGCTACAGCGAACATGCTCCGAGAACATACAACATGTGATTCACACATAATAATGATGAGTTCGATTGTAAAAGCTAAACACTGATGAACTATTTTACTACTATTTAGATGCAACATCAGATGAGCAAATATTAACAGTAAGTTCCATTTTAAAGCTAAAAACTAATGAATGATTTTATTTCTATTTAGATCCAACAATCCAGGTCAATCGTTCCGCCCACCGGAGCCTACAGGAACCGGCAGGAAAGATGCGGAAAGTGACCATATCCTGCAAAAAAAACATTGGAAATCGCTGGAACATGGAACCAGTATTTCCACGGGGAACTTTCCGGATTTTTTCCAGTGAGTTCCGACCAACTTACTGCGTTTTTCGGCAAGATCTGGCGAAAATCGTAGAAAAAAATCCGGAAAGCTTTCGCCGGAATACTGCTTCCGTGATCCAGCGATTTCTCGTGTTTTCCTGCAAGATATGGTGACTTTCCCGCAGCTTTCCTGCTGATCCTGCAGAATTCGGTGGGCGAAAGGATCGACCTGGATTATAGCGATCCGGTGGGTCTCGATTGAGAACGAGAAAAATGCAACCTCGGAAACGTTTCATCCTTTTCGGAGATTGATATCGGAAGAAAATTTTTATTTGCGTTCTTGGTTGCCAAAGTCTCGGAAACCGTGCCTTGGAAACCCTCTAAGGGTTTTCTAGAAAACGGTTTTTTTAGAGAGCATGCATATAAAAAGCTATCTCGAAGAAATGTTTCTAGTAAAAATAACACTCCTAGACTGTGCCAAAACGTCTCCAATTAAAGGCATTGATGAATACGAATCATTAATTTTCTTCTTTCTAATATAATTATTGTTTTACATTCAGGACAAGGATTGGAGTGTAAGCAAGAAAACTTAGATGAAGATAATTTGATATGAATTTGATTTTAAGAACCAATCTAATTAGTCATTTTAGATTTATTAAAAAGACAATATGCTTCTTGAGTCAGTGAAGCAAAATTTATATGGTATCAACAAGTTGGATTTTGAAGCCAAGTCCTTCGTAAGAAAGAGGATGTTTGTATTCCCGTTTTGCGTTTGAATGATTTGTTTGCATATTTTCGTTCTCTAGCGGTAGTCCTATATACGAGGTTTCTTCGATTCGAAACTCACTACATAGTATTATAAACTCCACAGTTTGCGAGCTGTTTTATGATGAACTTTCTTGATGGCTCTGCCACATCTTTATTTGAAGCTACAGTTTTCAATATCTCATCAAAACCTTTGACAGCCCTGGAAGCACATTACTAAAATTTTCAGATGAATTGATCGGAATCAGCTAGAGCTATTCATATCAGACTTAAGATCAGGACCTACGAGTAATCGATGGAGATGTTGAATATGTTAGTCAGATCTTCGTTATTTCGAATTAATTTCTGAACGAATTGTTACTAATGATCACTGCATCACTGAGATCCCGAATAAGAGATTGCGCGCTGATAGATGCCAAAAATCATGAAATTGAGAGTAGAGTGGTGCTTCTGATCACAATGCAGTAAGAGCAGCATTGACTCTAAATATTAACCAGAAGTGATGCGAACTGATGACATTGCCTCAGATGGGTACCTGATCTTTAACGAGGACCGTAACTTTAACGACTCTAAAAATTTTTAGTCGTCGTCAACAGTTTACATTAGCAAGGTCTAATTGCTGAGAATGCATAACAAAGGTATACCTAGTCTGGAAAAATATTTGCCCATTGAGAGTTCTACACTAAGTAGTTATCCGCTACTATGAAAAACATATTTTAAAGATCCGAGAGAAAGTGAGTGCTAAATTCTTGCTAAATGAAGTAGACTAAAAAATGTAGGCAGTTCTTTTCTGAATTGAAAGTTTCATATCTATGGAAACATTCATATTATTTAGTAGGTGTTCAAGGAAAACCAACTCATTCGAAGAATCTACCTACGAGTGGTCATCGATTATACTACTACAAATGGCTCACTGACGACATTATCAAAAGATGATAGCAAAGATATTACTGTAGATAGTATATTTGCCAGAAAAAGACTCAAATTATAAAATGTCTCTCTTTCATGTTAGAAACTTTTAAGCATAATCGTGCAGTATTATATGAAGACGTAGAATTTCAAGCTAAAACTTTTTTCTTATAATGGACTTAGCCCCTCAATGATCAGCCTAAATCATCAACTTGGAAAGTTTTAATAAAACTGTGGAACTATTTAGAATACGCTCTTCATTAAACACAAATATTACAATAAAATAATCATGCATTTTATTAGATCACATCACTTAGTTCATTATCTCTTTTCACATTTTAATTTCAGTAAAACATGATTTTGTTACCGAGAAAAATTATCTGATTATGGGAGTTCTCCGATTCATTTTTGAGATTATCTTCCGTTAAATAGACGGACATGATCTTGGTCGAAGATATATTATCACAAGAATAATATTTTTTTTCTGGTCCGATGATCAATGTGTTTCTCTACAATGATTATTTAATTTGAAATCCATGATATAGATTCGAAATGCAAGCGGTCTGCTGTTTTCAGGATCGATAGCGGTAAAGATGAATCTCTTCAGGGAAGGCTACACTATGTAAAAAAGAGCAGAACAATAAATTTTTGCTCTAAGTACAATTTATCATAGGCCCTTTAAGAATTCAAGAGTCGCAGGGCTTATTAACTTCTATGATATATGGTGATAGAATACAATAAATGCATACAACGAATACATTGAAAAGTAATTTATGTGTGCTGTGAACGTAAGCGGTTTCATGCACAACTATGAGATACGATCCTTTACTGTCGCAACTTAGAAGGGAACATTCCCAGGTGCCAGAGAGCTTTTGAGCCGGGACTTTAGGCATCTAATAGCTCTTAGTGAGCTGTGTCTATGGCAAAAAAAATGTCGGGTTTCTGTCTTGTTTCTTAGGAGATATCGAGTTTCTAGTGACTTGGTCCTATAGCACCCCACTTTTGCAGCAAAGCTATGTTTTTGAATTTTGACTTAAAACTTTACCCACATAAAGGCCTCAGCTAGACTAGCTTGCATAAAAAATTTCAGAAGTTGTGAGCAAAGTCTTTCCGAGATACGAAGATTTGAAAAAATGTATACTATATATACTACCTATGAAAAATGGTCTATACCTTGAAAGTTTCATATATCGGAGAGACTTTGTCCGAAACTTTTGAAATTCTCTATGCAAGCTACTCTAGCTGAGTTCTTTATGTGGGCAAAGTTTCAGGTCAAAATTCAAAAACATAGCTTTACTGTAAAAGTGGGGTGCTATAGGAACAAATCACTAGAAACTCGATATCTCCCAAGAAACAATACAGAAACCCGAATTTTTTTACCATAGACACAGCTCACTAAGGGTTATCAGATGCGCAAAGTCCCGACTCAAAAGCTCTCTGGCACCTGGGAATGTTCCCTCGTTAGTTCAGAGTTAAGATATTAATCTTGATCAAGACTAGTATTTTTCAAACTGATTATAAAATGTCATAATGAACGCCAATCGGAAAAATAAACAATATTTATTATTTGAACTTATCTCAACCTAGAGTGCTAATTTATCTTTACTGTATAAGAAAAAAAGATGAATAAATAAAAATAACATTTATATTATTTTAATAACAGACAGAAATTAACATTGACACGCCAAGCTGGAGTTCATTCGTACCCCAGTGAGATTCGTTTTACTGATATTTTATTGTAGCCTACGATCAGGTCTTGTTTGTCAAGCTATATTTTATGGACATCTTGTACAGTACTCCAATAATAACAATCAATCAAACCGAGGTTGCTACAAAAATAGTGTTACTTCAGGAATGATTCGTTTTCAAGTACACTGCATTTTGCTGAAGTACTAGTTCTTATGAGGAAAGAAATCATGTCGAAACGCGCAAAACGTTCTGGTAAAATTCTTTCCTGGTCAACATGGAAGTTTCAGCAGAGTACAACGTAAGTGAAAAAGCTTCGTTCCCAAAACATTACTTTGCTACATGACAATCATCATCACACGGAAAATTTTGTTAAAATACATGTGATGTTTCATACGCAATACACAATGTCAAACATTTTGAGAATAGAAGATAAGCAGAAAGTGATGAAAAATTACATAAATACTTAGAGTGAACCAAAAGTTCGAATCACGATGTTTAAAATTTTATAAAACAGTAAATATTGAATGTTTTCCTATGGGAGTATATAGTATAACGTCTCGTCTTTAATAATCTGTAGAGCAGCTCTATGTTGGATTTAGTTCTAACATCCTGCTAGACTAAGCCTATACTTTAGCGACTATGCTAATATTTAACTAATCCTTGTCCAATGCTCAGGTATATTCTGGAACTTTCCATATTTTTCATTGGTCACTCTCTCGTCACGTTTTATGACGTCATGTTCTAGAATATTACATTTCGATAGTATATATAGATGAGAGGTCGTTCGCTGTTCGTTCATTTGGACGTTACTCGACTTAAAAT